TCACGGACGGAGCTCGTTGCTACTTGCGCCCGGCCACAGAGTACAGGTTGAAGCATAGGTTTTGCGCGCTCTCTACTGGGGACTAGAATCACAGTTCCCAGGTCGCAGTCTACGGTCGGATCCAAGTGAACACCGGCCTTGTGGATAGTATGTGGTCTGACTTGAAAAAGTGGGTTCCGAAGCCAATCACCGCCCGAAACCATGAAGGAGAAGTAAACGGTTTGTTGTGGTGCTACGTTTACCAGTGGTGGCTTTGGACCTCGTACCCAGATACCAGAGAGCGCCGACAAAAGCTCTACGCGCACTGGGAAACGTGTGCTGCGTCTTGAAAGTGTGCTGGCTGGCCCTCGATCCAACGGTCGACGTCGAGCCGAGCCGACGATCGAACGGAAAGAAGATGAAAGGCGGCTCCCCCAAACAATGAGCTCCTGAGGTCCTAGTCTAAAGGCCTAAATGCTCCATGATGCTCCATGAATGAATGTTGTGCATCATTGAGGTGGTTCACCTGATGTCCATGTAGGTCAATCTTCCACACATGGAGTGTCTGAGAGTGTGAGATAGGTGTCCGTTCTGCATGTCGCCCAAAAGAAACGCTATTTGTCTTCCCCCCCGAAAAGTGAAAACGTTAAAAAACGTGGTGTTTTTCACAAACGTGCCACAGTCTTAAGTAAACCCGTCGGGATATATATATATATATATACCAGTCACATATGTATATTTGTATATATATATACTATTGCTATTATATATATATGTATATATATATATATGTCAACCGGTGGTTTGGTCGTTAAATAGTTAGTTGGGTCGTCAGCTCTTTGGTTTATTCCCGCACAAACCCGCAGATTCGCATCATTCGCACTGCCTGGGAGCCCAGGTTTTTGGCATGATTTGGAAGGGTTCTGGCTGCAAAGCATGAGGGGAAACAAAGTGAAGCAAGAAGGAATTAGATCAGGTTTGACTACATAATGGTTCCTGTCATTGGGTGTGTGGTTTCCTGGGGGTTAATTTTTGAAAAGGCTTCGGAAAGGCCTATGGTTTCAACCATCGTACAATATACAGACCTCCATGTGTCCATTGCAACTTGGGACCCTTTGTTTTTTTCAATGTTCATTTTATAGACCAATGTCTTAGCAAACAGGGTGTTTTTGACGTCCTGGTTTTCGCTTTTGTTTCCAAACTCGCCATTTCTCGGCCACCCGCTCTTGATTGCCAAGGTAAGGTATGATTACCCAACGTGTTCAGTATAGGTCCGGCATTACAAGAATTCAAACCAATTTTTAGATATGTTTTTGAATCAAAATATGTTTGGACATCGTTTTGAAGAGGTTTTTACAGTGTAGTAGACTGAGTGCACCCTGTGTGCCCTTCTCATTCGAAAGAAACTTCAGCGGTTGGATTCCATGGATTCTTTCTGAAGCAGCTGCATCACGACTTTTGGAGTGTTTTCATTGTTTTTTCAAACATTTTTATTGTACACATGTCTCCAGCATCCAAAGCACGTTTGTCTACACATCGACCAGCCGATTCCAATGCCTGTCCACCCAGGGCCAGGGCTGGTACAGCGTGAACCGCCGGGGAGTCTTTGGCTGAGTCGTGCGAGCTCGCCGCATTTGTTTTCGCAGCACGAACCCGTGCAGCCACAGATTGACTCTTGCGGTTCGTTTGTGAGACCAAACTTAAAAGCACTTGGCGAGTGGAGCTGAAATCTAACGATATTTAACGAGTGACTTCCTGCGCATTGTGAAGTCGCTTGTTGCTTTGTTGGTTCCGTTGAGTATGAGTTTCAGCAACTTTCGAGTATGGTGCCGGATTGCAATTGGTTTCGTTCTTATTCCCGGTATTTTAAGGATTGCGTGGGTGAAGAGTAGGCATGATTGGAGGATCGAGTTCATTTCAGAGTTTTTTTCCCACTGAGGGCATTCTCCATAGACCCTTGACATTGCTCTCTCTGTGTGATTTCAACGTCCCGTCCCTCAGCCAAACCCACTTTCCGTGGCCCACACGACTGTCCATTCGCGTGTCTTTGGCTGCAACATCTTCATCGGCGGCAAGCATAGCAGATCATACTTGAAGACCAGATTCCCAGACGGAAAGCATAGAAAGACGTGCATGGTGCTTCACGGTTTCATGGGTTCTGAGCTTGCACTGTCAAGGTCTGCAAGCTTTCAATTCCCTTCAATGTATGCAGATCTGTCAGTGGTAGTCGCTGCTGATGATTCAATGATGCCCACCAGTATCCTTCAGTACTGTACGAAGCGGCGAAGATGATTGGTTCTTGTCATTATGGTGATTCTGTTGATGATATGTGATTGTTGCATGTGTAAATCTCTCGAGCTTGTTGTCGTTGCGGTTGCTCCAAGTTGTCGTTCTATACTATTATTGTAGCTGTTGTCGTTTCGTCATTGATTCTCTCAAGAAACTCTTGACACCCCTCACTGTTGTTGCTGTGTTGCTTGTCCTTCTTGTCCTTGCTGCTGCTGCTGCTGCTCCTGCTGCTGCTGCTGCTGGTGGTGGTGTTGTTGTAGTTGTCGTCGCCGTCGTCTCTTTTAACTTGTTCATTGTTTCTTGTTGGCAAACTGATGTGATGCGGATCTCAATTACTGCAATGACGAATGATCGGTTGTCACTGTTCTTACTACTGACTCGGTGTCGCTGTCGTCGTTGGTCGTTCCTCCTTGACTTTCAGCAGCTCTTCAGCAGCTCTTTTGGTGGATTCGTGGCGGAAGTGACGGTCAGCGGCGCGCGGCTTTTGCCTGTTCTCGTTCTTTGTGCTGGAGAAGCTGTGCTGCAGTTGTCGTTGCGGTCGCTATTGTGAGTTTCGGTGTCAGCTTGTTGTGGTGGCTCCAGCTGTTCCTTGCCGTCGTGCTTACTGGTAGGACTTTTGGATGATTTTGGGCTTTGAGAGATGGCCAGTTGTTACCAGCAAGTCTGGTTTTTAGGTTTAGAGTCGTATAGAATGTAGAGAACACCATTGGTCGCCCAGAACCTCAGCCTAGCTTTGTAATAGCAGTGTTGTGAACTGCCGAGTTTGCTGCTGATCTCCATGTCTCCGTGTACAGTTGAAACATGTTGAAACAGTTGCATGAGAACGAGTCATGCATGGCCCGAGTCCATCAAGGGACGATTCTTGTTATTCAATGCTCATAGTCCAGCCTTCTTCTTTTTACCCCAATGCGGACTGATCGCAAAAGAGATCTCCACAGTCGAAACGTGTTCCTTTTTGGAAGTCTAGACTCTAGCAGTCGAAGAATCTACCAAACGGACAAACGGTGACGACGCCCAAACGGACCTAAGGGCGGCGTCTTGTACTTTTGTACATCAACAGTGGTTCTTGATTCATGAACATGAAACATGAATCACTCATTTTTTCACTCGGACATTTTGCTGCACAAGTTTCCCAATGCTTTCGGAGGGCTAAAGCAGAAAGAAAGGAAACTCCTACCACCATGAGAGCTACACAACTGCGGTTTCGATATGAAGCTGCGCTTAACAAGCAGAGACTTTGTTGCATCCATGTTGAGCAACACGATAACGTCCATGAAACAACAACTAAGAAGACATTCATGTGGTGTTGATAAAGAACCCCAATGTCATTACCACCCACCCCTGCAATGCAGAACCTCATGAATGTTGTGTGGTCACATAAAGCAACGTTACATGTAGAATCTCGAACAACGCCGAAAACGCAGGGAACCGACTGGGCGTCCACACCTGGAACTACAACATGGTGGCTGGGGGCTGGGGGAATGCGTTTTCTTTTATTTTTTCAGATACTTGAGTTGGGCTCTTGTTTGAAGACCACCGTTTATTTAGTCCACAGTAGGTCATTGAAAAGACAAACAGCGTCGATGGATTGACTCATGAAAGCATCAAAGCCTGTTGCTTGAGTTGACCAAGTCTTGGGGCCGCCCTCTGTTTGCCTGGTCATGTAGCTCAAAATCTTCAAAGACACACACAACACATTTTTGGAGGGGGCTCATGACTCATGATGACATGATTGTAATGGTGCTTTTTGATCAATTGGTTGAATTGGTTGGAGATGTTCTGGGACGCTTTGAGCTACTGTAGTTGTTGCCATGGGAAATAGATGACCACCTTGATGGCAAGGCTGTAAGATGGCAGTGAGCAAAAAATGACTTGGCTCACCACTCAAAAAGAGTCAAAAGGAAGACTGCGGCGTTGGAACAGCTAAGCGGCAGCCATGCATTTGGAATCTTTGGAGATATGAGGGATTGATGTGGGAATACCCAAAGTCTTGCTTCAGGTCTTCAGAGACCGTGGTGCACTGGTGCTTGTTGTTAGCATGCGGACTGAAGGGGCATTGGATCTACAATCTACTATGAACACCATAATGTTTGTTCAACCTAGACCCTGAGCGCAAGGTTTGTTTGATGCTGGAAATCGCAGCTTGGCAGTGAATGCAACATGGTCCTTGGTGAAACTTTTGTGAAGACCTGTCAAGTGGAAAACCATCGACCAAGTGATGGCGAAATCTGAGTTCCCGACACCACCATGCCCAAGTTCCCGACTGCAGTGCATTGGTTTTTCACATGTCACATGGCGCAACAATCACCGTGTTCCGTCCCCATGTCAACCAGGTGCCAAGCCTTTGTCAGCAGTTGTGGTCGCAACAAAGAACACCACCGATGGCAGCCGATGGCCGTCCGATCGTGCCAGCCGATGCTGTTCAAGTACCTGCCAGTCTTGTTCTCGAGGGAGTCCAATGCCAATGCCACAAAAGGTGAAAGCAGGGTGTGATGACTTAGAGGAGCGGAGGAGGAAATTCATCCCAGCATTTGAGAGGATATGCAGAACATGACAGGTGTGATGTGGTTTGATTCCTATGAAGGATGAGTGGTACCTAGCGGTGCGCATGACTACCCTTGACCACCATCATTGATATAGGCTGCTCTGTCATGCACTCAGAATCTTAGAATGCACTCAAATGCCCACCTGCGTGCATTCATTTGGGGCTGCGGCAAGAAGTGATGGCCGCCATGGATACTGCAAATGTGCTGCCCGGCGCAAATGGTTTCGGGATGTTTCGGCGGTGCTAGCCCCAATTTGGTGCCATCCAGAGCATCCTAGTGATTTTGAGCCACGGTACCCACTTGGAGATTGGGAGTGACTTGTCATCAAGTAGGTGTCCTACCTGGAATTCCTTATCGTTTGTGTATTAGTTTTCCACACAGCTGCTTTATGGAAGGAGCTTGTTGCACCTCCATGCAGGTATGATCCTAGAATCAGGAATATGGTTAACAAAATGTCACCGCAAGACATATCTTGCAAATCTTACCCTTTGAACTCATATCAAAGAAGTCTACGTTTACATGACTTTGAATGTTCCTTATCGTGGGACTGTCGTTCATATCGAACAAAACATGCTGTTCATTAATCTCCTGACTTTAAGAGAATCCGGCATTTGGCATCATAGCTAAGCTGATCATTCACAACCTGTTGAACTCACAGTTGACGTAGAGACATTCACGCGCTTTTGCAAGGAGCTTTTTGAGTGAAAGGTCGTGTCTGATGGGTGCCTGAACGATGTTCAAATTCAGTGACAACTCTAAGCATGAGATGAAATTGCTTCAACTTCAATACAACAGACCGTTACGCTAATAAAGCTGATTGAGAACCCAGCTTACTTTCTGGTCAAAGGCCTCAAGGACATATCTTGCGTGTTGACCGCCGCAGTGTTTCACATCAGATCATGATCTCTACCTCTCTTGCGACCATTCAGCGGGCTGAACCTGGGAAAAGCAGCCTCTCAAACCGGAGATGTGTCCGGAGTGAGGTCGACCAAGGTTTGAAAGGGTGTCACACCGACAGCTCCGAAAAGCAATGACTGAGATCCGTTCAGCACCGTGGCGTTGGGCGTCGGGTGCAAAGGTGGAGCAACGAAACCCTAGCTTCTATTCTTGCTCAGATAGGGAGCCTCAAAAGAACATGTGTTTGTCATTCTTTGTCAAACTCCCTGCTCTGACGGACACGTTCGTTCTTTCCTCTTTGCAATGATCTGACACCGAGGCACAACTTGGTTGGTCTCCAATGCAGGAACAATTTACATCGAGAAAACACGAATGCTCGGAAGGCACGAAGGCAAGAAACTAAGGGCGTGGCCGAACGAAAGCAAATCTGGTTGCGGATTCAAGTACATCAAGGTGCTTAATTTTTGAAAAAGCGGGGGTGTCGTCAACGTAAAGGGTGGCGGTCGTGGCATCAAGGCTCCTGGAGTTGCAAAGTAGCGCCACCTGGGATGCCGTGCAGGACGCGCGAAAGCCGGGAGCGCGTCGCGGCCGGAGGGGTTGATAGCGAAGGGCGGAAGGCAAATGGTCAACCAACAGGTCAACTAGCGATAGATAGCAGGTCAAATGCCAAGTTGCTGTCCGTAGATCTACAGAACGGGTGCTCCTGGGAGATGTTTTTCATGCAAAAAATGATACAAAAACACTGTGTCTCAAACTTTTTTTTGTTTGTTTTTTTTTTTTTTTGTTTTTTTGTTTTTTTGGTATTCCCTCTAAATTGGGATAGGCTTGGATCTCACAAAATTGCTCAACAAATAGCTCAAAACCTCAATTTTGGAGAGGATTTTGCAAGAAATCACTGTAAAACACAGTGTTTTTGCATCATTTAAGTTTAACGGTGGAATTTGATGTTAAATTGGATTTCAATTGATTTTGGTATTAGACTTCAATTAAACCGCTTTCAGAATTATTGGTGGAAGTTGATGTATCATTAGCTTTCTATTAAAAATGTGTTTAAGATTAATTGTATATTTTTTTACAAACTAAGTTTCATTTATATCATTGTCAAAATCATTGGGGAAATTGACGTTTATATTAGATTTCAATTAACATTTCTTCAAGATTAATTATAGAAAAATGAATGTGTAATTCAACGATTAGATGCCTTTTCAAGATCATTGTGGCAATTGATTTTGAATTAGATTTCAATTAAAACCCTATTATATTTCATTGTAGAAATTAGGCATTACTTGAATGTCAATTAATGTCCTTTTCAAAATCATTGTGGAAATTGCTTGTTGTTTAGATTTTAATTTAAGTTCTTTTCAACATAATTTGATTGAATTGCTTGTGTATTGGATATCAATCAAGACCCTTTTAGAATTGATTGTGAAAATTAACTTTCAGTTGACAGTTAATGGTGGAAATCAATTCTTATAATTAGATGTTAGTTAAAGTCCTTTTATTTGATTGTAGTGGGGAGCAAACAGATACAACATCAATTCAAGTTAGTTAAGCATCACAATTTCCACAATTGATCTTAAATCGACTTTAAACACAATCTGATACTAAATCAAAGCCACCACTAACTTTGAAAAGGACTTTGACTAAAATCTAATTGTAAGAACTAGTTTCCACAATGAGTTTTAAAGAGAACTTGGAAATGATTTTTATTGCAATCTAATATCTAATAAATAGCAAATTCCACAATCAATGTTAAAAGGATCTTGATTGAAATCTTCTAATTTAAGTTTGCCTAATTCTATTTTAATTCCAGTTTAGTTAGTTTAAGAACACACATGTTACAAAACCCTATATTTTACAGTGTGTTTTGCCCTAGGAGTGCTGGGAATAAGACACACACTATGTTTTTGAGTAGATAGTATTTGTTTAAAGTAATTTGTTGGAATATTCATTGCTATATTAAAACTGCTTTATGTACAAACTTCTAATTCAAAAGGTTCCCTCTAGATCTGATCACTTCTGTGAAAAAAATATAAAGCTTTCATTTCAAAAGCTTTCCTCTGGATCTCTGGAAATAGTCATGGTATTTTAAAAAAGCTATAAGTATGTATGTAAGTGTTTCTTTCAAAGGCTTTCCTTCAATGAAAATACACAAATCTAGGAAATCTACTTTCCCAGAGATCCAGAGGAAAGCTATTGACTCTAGATATGTATAGTATTATATCTTCATTCGCTCATGATGCTACATTCATTGTGGGCAGAGAGAGATTCACCTGATAATATTTATCATTGGTGTTGCACATTGATAGTGGGCAAACGAAGAGCTGTTATTTGTTGTCATTGACATTGGACATGGAGACTGGGCACAGACAGATCAAAAAAATTGCGTTTCGCCTAGTTCTCAGAGCAGTTTTTGAAATTTTGCACGGTATTTACAGTGTTTTCTAAGGGTTTTGAGCTAGTGTGTGCTCTCCCAAGCGCACCCACCCTCTAGATCTACGTGTCATGCCTTAAATAGCCCAGATGGAGGCCAAATGAATAAAAAGGGTGGATGTTTGGCAGCAGCTTCATCTAGCCTACTCAGCTTGGATGGAATCCACTATTGTCATGCAACTACATTGCCTGCACGAATTCAAAAGCACACCCTACCATCGAGAAGTCTACCACTTCTTGGACAAGTTTCTCCCCTACGTGTCCCACCAAGACCAGCATTTTTGCTGCAAAGGACGAGCTGCTCCTAAGACTTCTGCAGTCCTTGCGAGATGGCATTTTGAGGCAGAGGGTTTCAGCAGGTCTCAGTTGACAGCGGGTCTCATCTTATGAGACTCATGTCCAGGTCTTCCAACTGGCCCTGGACATATCCAAGTACCCCTGCAAGTACTAGCATTGGGATCAGGCCACTGGCTTGGAATCTGAGGCACACCCTTTGTTCTGTTTACCCCTCCAAGCACATCAGATGGGCGTGGAAAACAATAGACTCTCCGTTTTGTCAGCTAGTCCTCCACAGGCTTATTTTAACTTATTTTCCACTTCCTTCCCCTGGAAGAGTGATTCTGAGGGTACCAAGCTTGTGGCCCGCCTCTCAGATGAAAACATGAAGTGATATACAAGTATAGTATATATATATATAAAGCTCTCAGGCTCACGCTTCCCGTAAGGGTTATCGTACGCTTGGGCCGAGTGTGCTGGAAAGTCGGAGATGTTCCGGTCCAAACGCTATGACACGAGGATTCATTGTGCAATTATATATTATATGTTGGTGCCTCCATGTATCTCACTGATTTGCTGAGCTTCTGGAAACCATTTCCATGAATCCCCCATGATCAGGTACCTTGAAGAACACTTTCCCTTGAACTTCCACTGCTTCCTCTCATTTCCTATTACTATAGAATACTATATACATATTAATATATGTATTATATAATATATGTATGGCCAGTTGTATGGCCCCAAGATGTTCGGACATCCATTTACAATTCAGGTCCGAACGGGAGGCAGATGTTCCAAGGCCTCCCGCCTCCCGCAGCCGACACGCAGCGAAACGCCTCAGGCGTGTGGAGAGCACCGAGGAGCGGCTCCAAGCCACCGCACAACGTGCGGAGGCGTCGTTTTGGTTTCGGTAAAGGGGAACCTCGAGAGTGGGAAGGGTGAAGAGGTTTAGTCTACAAAATGAGTCTGGATGCTTTCCATTGATTTGGATCCAACTTCGGGCAGAGCCTCGATGGTGGGGGTTTGTACACCCAAAGGCCTTTGACACGGATCCTCAGGGGTCAAATTAGGGTGAAAAAACCGATGTGTTGGGACCACCGATGAAAGACTTAGCCCATGTTGTCCCTCTGCTTTTGAGTCAAGAGTCTTCCAGCTACAGTTAATATGAGCACTTCAGCCTTGGTGAAACTACCGCAGAAACCAAGGACTATATAGATTGGGCCCACTGGGCTCCAACCTAATAGCAATGGCCTCCTATGCAACCTCCAACTGACTTCGTAGCGATGGCCTCCTATGCAGCCTGCCATATGGAGCTATGCTTTGGTATTCCACGGATTCCTTTGGCAAGTTGGTGCAGTGATCGGGTTTCACGCTCAGACCCTGGGATGAGCCATTGTAGCCCGTGTTTGTAAATTATAGTTGCTTTGGGATTGGGACAGGGACCTGGTAGCTTTAGCTTCACCTGAATTTTCTTCGCTTTAGTAAGAGTGCTCCTAGTAGCGATGCCAGGAGCCTAGTAGCGTCCTTGCTCCTAGTAGTAAGGCCAGGAGCCCCCAGTAGCTTCTTGTTACTAGGTGCGGAGTGTTGGCACTCTTGTCCCGAATTTAGGCTCACGACGTGACCATTATCGGAGTTCGTCACTGGATTGGTCCGGAACCGGATCGTCTGCAGCTGGTCGATTATTTTTGTTGGCCCATGGCCCTGCCTCCTTACTTCATTAAGTAGGCACCTACTTGATTGAGTAAGGGAGTAGGCTTCTAGTAACTGGACGCAGGATATCTCACGCTTCTTCAAGGAAGCTGCTCCCGCCTAAGGACTTGGGGGGAGCTTCCTTGAAGAAGCGCTCAAACGAATGATTTGTTTCCTAAATTATCCAAAACATGTACTATATAGGGAAACTTAGCTCACATCCTGCATCCTACCATGTCCTACCGTGTCCTACCTGGTTGTTTTGGTTCTCCACTTCATCCCAAATCACTTTCACGCACGGTGCCTCCTACCAAACCTCTTCAGAAGGCGTCCATGATAGTGCCGTACTTCTCCATCGCTTCTTCAACCCCATACTCTTCGACCCCATCACGTGTTGCCACTCATGTTCATCTCTCTGACTTCTGTACGGTACTGTACGCCTGCTCCCCATGCTTTTGCTTGACGTCATGCCTTGATGCTGGAGGGTCTGCCGAGTGGACATTCCAGATCTTTGCCACTTTGTCTCCAGCGCCACAGGACCAAGTGCTTTGAACCCCTAAGCGCTCCTCCATGTGCTACCGAGGCAGTGGGCTTAAAGCTGCGGAGTGCCAACTGTCAACTGGAGATTTTGGCCTCTCGGTGATCGCCATACGCGTCAGCCCTCGCGTGTGAGACGTTTACGGGGAGTTGCCTACGCGCACGTTTGGAGAGTCGCACGTTCTTCGGAGCTTTTGAGAGAGTTCTTTTCGATCCCCACCCACCCACGGGTCTTATTGGGCCACTGGGTTCATGAAAAACAAGACGAGGAATGGTCAAGATATGATCATGGACCAATGCGGGAGGCACAGGTCACACATTTCTGAAAGCCTGACCTACTCCAGATCAACGGCAGGTTGTAAAGTGAAATCCTGAACTCTGGTCATTTGCAAAAACAATCAAAAACAGCACTGGAGTGTTCTTCCAATTCTGCAGGGCCATGTACTGCAACAAAAACCTGAAGGAAGTAGCGCTCACATCTCCTGGGTGAAGCACAAAGAAGGGTTTATCACATTTTACCACCCAATGCATCCAACAGTTCAAACATCGCTGAAAGCCAGCATCGAGATGTGTCAACAGTAGGTTTTGCATTCTCCGGTATTCTGCCATGATTTGAGCGGTCTGATTTTTTTATTTTAAAATCATCTGAAGGGTTATAGGAGTGTCCTATTATGCCAGTAGCACAGCAGTCACATCAGAACCATGCGTGCCAATATTGTATCGATCATCAAACGCTCACGTTTGGCTCAAGTGAAAAGGCGGATGTCCTATTGGTCGACCACACGTTCGCTGACTCGCAGGTTATCAGCTTCTGCTACGAGTTGAGCTGAAAGACTAGCTGGACCTCGAAGAAAGACATCCTACCTAGGCTTGGCTTAGCCAGCCTCGACTGCTAACTTTCTGAGATGCCGGGCACAGACGACATGAGTGGGGCGACCTATTCTTTTGCTGCATCAGGTGCCACATCACAGTCGACACCTGATTCAAACATGAATGCTAGTGCTGACTCCCAACATGACCCAGATTTGATGAGCAAGGCATGGGCTCAATGATGCTTTCTCTGGAGCAAAGCTTAGCCGGAACCATTGTCAAGGCTGGATTGAGATTGGCATGCCGCCTGTCGTCGTGGTCGCTGCATCCTTCGTGGCAACCAATCCACACCGAGGACAAGCTGCACACCGCAATGATCATTTTCAATCCCTTTTCACCATGATGGGTGAGGATGAGAAGAAGATGACATCGACGAACTTATTGTCAAAATTGTCGAATTACGTGGTGAGCAATCAGAGAATGGCAGCTACTTCGTTCGAGAACATGGAAGTTGATACCGAAGGAGGAGACGGACATCAAGAGAGAAGAATTGCGTCGATTCAGTAGGTTCTGCTCAGATGAAGTGAGGGAAAAGCTCGAGACCTTCACAGAGAAGGTAGAACTTCTTTTAGCACCACGTGCCCTTTCATGCTGACCTGACTGAAACAACAGTGCGACCACCAGGGGTCCAGACTGGCTTGGTGTCATGAATCGCTGGTGTCAAAAGACATTGTCTACGACAAGAATACCGATGGCATGAAGATGACCGAGAAAGATTTCACAAAGGGGTGCGAGTTCATCCTCCTGCGGCCCACTTCGGACTTGCTATCAGAATGCACAACAAGCGCTTCCCACAAGAAATGATCAATGTAGCTGAAGTGCTCGGGCATAGCGCGGACAACAGAAATCAATCTATCGAGAGAGCAGTTCAAGGTGTGATTCTGGGGCGAAGCTTTCATATTTATAGTCAGTGCTCCCCATTTTTGATTCTAGTGTCCCTGCCTCGGAAAGACAGAGACAGGGGGGTGCGAGTAGCACAGCAGTCACACATCAGAACCATGTGTGCCAATATCGTACAAATCATGTACATCAAACGCTCACGTTTGGCTCACGTGAAAGAACCTGCTGGTGTATTGGCAACTGATACAGCTCGCACTCGGGTGGTGGCTGAATGTTCGAGGTTTTTTGTATGTTTTTGTTTTCATGAGTTTTGGATGCACTCCATAGAATGGACATTCCCACTTTTTTTGAATTATCCAGGATGAGTTCTCAACGAATTCGGACTTCGCTCGCCAAATGGTCGATGTTCGTCCGAAAACCCACAGGCGCAGAGCCAATTCTTGGAACATCGCATCCAAACCGACGAGGACGAGGTGGGGTGGAACACGCCTGTCGGAGGCCATCACACGCGAAGAACGACGTGGGTCCGGTGGATCTTGGTCAACCAGTTCGCGGATCAGGTTGCAGAGTGGCGTTGGTTGATGTTTGTCAGACTTGAGGTCAAAATATTTGAAGTCTCCCTGGAGCTAACATGGACGTGGAACATGGCCCCGAAAGGAAGACCATGTTCCTCTACATAGAGGATCAAACAAGTGGGTCCTGTTTTCACTTCTAGTTATTTTCATTCCAGGGAGTGTAAAACCTTGGCATGTGTGTCGCAAATTGTTGATGGGAATGTGCTGGGATTGTTTTGTTTTTGCAATCAATGGTGTAGCACGAAACCAGGGGTGACCGTTGGCAGCAACCAGAAAGAAAGACCAGGAGGCGGGTGCGTTTCTCTCTCTATATATATATACATACATAGTTATATATATATATATATTGTTTTTGTTCGATATTTTAGTATATTTTAGTGAGCCTTAAAAGTACGGTTTTCGATGTTTCTGGTTTTCTCGTTGTTTTTTTAAAGTTGTTTTTTGTGCACAGTTTAGTGGCGCAACTGTTATTCCTTCTGGACACCCCAGTGTTTGTAGTGGAAAACAGAACAGTTTTCCCAGTTTCCACGGGCATGTTCCACTTCCATGATTATTGGAGGGATGGTAGTGCCTAGAAATGCCCGAAACCTTTCTGGAAGGGTAGTGGTTCGCGCCCTTCTTCCATTTTTCCCACTGTTTTTGAGAGATCATGCGTTTTCTTTGCCTGATGAATAGAACGTGGGGCAACGCGGTTTCAGACCCAGCTGCTCCATCACCGGAGTTTGGACCGTCAAATACTTCGCAGGTTGAGCAGATGGTTGAGTCGCACACGGAGGAGCCGCAGAGCTAAAAGAAACATCCCAAGTCTTTGGAAGCCCAAAGAAACATCCCAAGGGAAGCGGGGGACGCGGTGTTTCAGGTGTTTCTGAAGATGTGAAATGTAAATCATTAGAGAAGCTGCGTGGTCTTGGTCCTGCGTTACGTGCCAGCCTGGTGCATGGAGTGGAACGTCCAATGAGGAAGAGGCACCCATGAACTATAGTTGTAACTATGAACCTTCTGAGGAGTCATAATGGTCAATAATCGTCCACTATATTAATATTTTGACGTTACTTTGGGGTCCCACAAACTGCCCAAAGCCCGATGCCTCAAAGAAGGACCTTTTCCCTGTCCGTTTTTTTCTGCAGGAATGAATCTTGCGCCGCCCGCACAAGAGTGGGGTATCCTCCATCTCAGCAGATTTTTCTTCCTCTAACAGTAAGTAATGGTTTGTTTTTCACTCTTCTTCGGGAACCGGCCCCTTGCCACAACACGGAGGCGCGATCCCTTGGTGTCCGTTGGGCGAACTTGCCACCAAGGCAAAGGGCTGTATGGTTTGTATAATGTTTGTATGACATTTAACAACATGTTGGGTAAACTAGGGGGGGTTAGCCCCGAACGCAACACACCGAGGGTGAAAAGCCCTGTGTTTTACAGGGCTTCGTGGCTTTCCGGACACTCAACTTATCGTCTTGCAACTAAGTTGCATGCGTTTTTTGACGGACTCAACGCACCCGCCTGCTCCATGTACAGCTTGCCAAGGCTCATTTTTGCCGCCGGACATAAGTCTTGTTCCCAATTGAGCTCACTGCACATTTGAGCTGGTGGACAAGTGTCTTGCGCAGCTTCTCTATGTATTCTGACAGCCTCGAGCATTGAGTCCAACCCTGGATGTTGGCGGAACCACAACGCTGCGAGGCCTTGATCGTGCTGTCGTTGCAGCTTTGCATCGCAACGGCCAAGAAAACCCATACGCAGTGTTAAAACACACCTTGAACGTCGAGCCCGTCATGTCCTCTAAGCCAGGAAAAGCGGTCACCGAGCGAACGAAAGGCCACCGAGTCGACAAGTCAACGTCAAAGTCGATGTGCGCGAGTAGTAACACGGACGAAACTGACCCCAACCCCCCTCACCCTGAAAGACTAGTCAACGGATCGGATATATGTTGCCGGCGGGGCTAACCCCGCCGTTGGCACAACATGTTGGTGAAGTCTTAAACGCCGCCTCCAGCTGTTGGATGTTGCTTCATCTGGGTCCAGCGTCCACATGGCGTCAGCGAGCAGAAGGAGAAGGGACTGTGTTCACAGTGACTTTGTCAGAGTGTTTTGGAGTGCGACCGACTGGGTGGGATACTTCCCCTAAACTGGGGATTGGCCCAGTACTGGCTTTTTGGCGGGTTGGTTTGAAATCACTTCCTGAAAGCCGTTCGCTTTGTGCCAGCTGTGAGGACCTTTGGTCCAGCTGTGATCTCCAACAGATCCCTGAGGCTACCGTGGCTGGAGTGTGCAGATCCCAAGCATTTTCTAGTTGCTCAATCACGTTTGAATGGCGTTGTGTCCTCATGTCCCTTGGACCATCGCAACCTGTGGAGCAATGACAAACCTAAAAGCCGAACGCAAAAGCTGTGTTGTTTGCAGTTTGCAGAGCCCGAACCTTGGGATTGGTTTGTCTTCAGACCTCCCTTTGAAAACACATTTGTGTAACCATGTGTTTTAGATGCTGTTGGGAGTGAAACCAATTACCAAATCATTAGTCTGAGCGCTTCTTAAAGGAAGCTCCCCCTGCCCTCAAGCGGGGGAAGTTTCCTTCAAGAAGAGTGAACTATCCTGCGTCCTATCTAGGAGTTTCCTATTGCTAGTAACTAGCGAACTACTTGCTAACTTAATTATGTAGGCGCCTACTTGATCAAGTAGGAGCGGGCTTGAAAAATGAAAAACCAATGTGTATACCTGGTTGCTGTTGGTAAGGTGAAAACAATTGCATGGTCTGAATGGAGGCTCCGCCCATGGAAGCCACTAAATGGGCACTTGGACCAACCAGAGAGGCTGCTGCAACTGCCTTGGTCAGGCGGAGTTCGAAGCCATAAAGACCGCTTTGGCCTTGGGACAGACCTTCGTCCAAGAGCAGGTAACACCGCAACTCGCGACTCAATGGCGCAGCGAAGGTGTCAAGTCTATTTGTTCACAATTGATCGCATCAGCAATTCGAGCAGAGGCTTTGTGGGCCTTTGATTTCTTTGATATCAATGGTTTGTTCCCTGATGGGAAGCTGTTCCATTTTCAACATCATCTCAACAGGCAGTCAGACGGAAATGAAGAACGCCATTTTTTGGTGGTAGGACTAGGACCTCTTCATACCTGGATCATCCTGGAGTGTACTTGCTACATGCCAACTCAATGCCCAGCACATATCTGATACACACGGTACATCACAGCACATTGTGCCGTGCACTGAACAATAACCCAACAAGAATCTTAATATAATTAATTATATGAACTATACAGTAAACTATCCATAATTATACATACATTATACATATATATATATAGAACTGAACGTGTAGCTTTCAAACTCTCCGTTTGTTCGGTGAAGAACGCTTCAGCACCACTGCTCCGCAGGTCCCAGAGGACTGGCCGCCTCTCCCAGAGGTGGTGGGCAGCGAGGCGGTCTCCGCTGCGGGGGGTTGGAATAAGGGCTCGACCACAAGAGCCCACAACATCTCAACCCGGAATTGCCCACGTTTGATTCATTGATTCATTGCTGTCCGGACAGTCCGGGAGATGCAAACCTTCTTTTCTCCCCTGACGAATCCGAAGGCTCATGGATGAATTTCGCCCGTCGGCTCGGCTCACATGGCGCCACCGGGGTGGTGATCGGATGCTTTAGGAGTGATCAGACGCTACGAAGGGGGCGCTCGTGGCCTTACTACTAGGAACAAGAAGCTACTAGTAGCAAAGGGCATCGCCACCAAAGGGCATTTACTACTGCCATTATTGGATGTTTTAGGTGCCCATAGTCTTGTTTATTCAAACCGACCTCTTGAGCGACCTCTTGAGCTGCTCGATGAACACAGATACTGACCATTTAGGGACGATACAACCTGTCTGTTCTTTTTTGCACACAAACTTCCCGGCGGAATCATTACAGCCCCACGGGCTTGTTCTTTTCGGGGTGGTGCGCTGCAGCGAAACAATACTGTAATTAGATCGAAATCTGAGGTCAAACAAATGTTGTTTGTTGTTTTCTTTCGTGCAACCGTTATGGCATTTTCCTGTCAAAAAGGTGCCCCTTTCGGTGCGTTCGTTTTGTAGGTTTTGAGCACATTTCGGAACAATTTACATAATATGCTTTGTCGATTATGCCTGGGGCGAATGTATTTCCAGGTCAAAGTCCACACTCGTGTGATTTCGATGGCTTTTGGAAGACGATAAAGCAGGGAATTCCTCTTCCAATGTGAAAGATCAGAACAATTAACACCTTGGGCCCTTGAGATGGGAACATTGAGGCCACGGCTAAGCAAGCAGGTGACAGGAAAATCTATGACAGGAACTGTCGCGAAGGTGGCTGGAAAAGGGAAGAAACTGTTTGCTTGATGTTGCGATGGACCCCTTCCTTGGATTTTCACATCTCTTCAGCTGGGGAGGGGATTGCTGGTTGTTGTGTTGCTTGCCCTGTGTTTCTTCACTTTGGGTGACAGCGAAGATGCTTTTGGCATGGTTGCACTTCCTCAAAAGCAACTTGTACTTCTTGCCAACTCGCAACAACAACACGTACGACAAACTCAGCGCCCAAAACACTCAGGCCACCACCCATGGCCTCTGAACAAAAGAAACTCTTGACATCGCAAGATTAATAAGAAACTATACCGACGTATTTATGTTTGCCCTCCCATCCCCCCGACCCCCCGATGTTCTCATCGTCACGCAGTGTCCATGTCAAATGTGCAGACACCTGCGCGTCTTTCTGGGCGGTAAAAATGCCGCTAGGGCTGGGAGGGACCTCTGCCCACAGCTGGTTGTCACTTGATGGCAGGCCTGGCAAAGCTCCTGGATCACTCCGGTGGAGGTGTGAAGTGGTCGGACTTGAGTGTGTTTTTGGAGAACTGATCCGGAATCGTGTCTCGTTCGGTTGATCAGACCTGTCGGGAGCACCAGGGACCAGTCAGGTACTGACTGCGTTGAAATGACAAGGAATAGAGCAGACCAGAAGTGAAACAAAACAAAGCAGCATCGTACGACTTTTCAGGAAGGAAGATGAGCGAAAAGCGCATTGAGAGACATATTTGAGAAGGCACCATGATTAGCCTCAAAGCATTCAAGAACAACTGACACAATCGTTCCGAGACTATGCAAGAAGGGGTGCTGCTTTAATTTATCCAGGGGTTCCCCCTCAACCATCCAGGTTTTTGCATTACCGGATAGGGGCCCACCTCACTGCCGATACCTTTTCAAATTGAACGCGAGGAAGCATCCAAAACACTGCCCTATTTATTGTAATATTTACTGTTGGCTAAGCAGATAATACTGTCCGCCACTCGTATGAGAATCATGCTTGTCAAAACAGCCCGTTGTGCACTACTTGGTGCAGCTGTGAGCACGACGTCCGCTGGCAAGTACATCAAGGGGAAGGAGGGAAAAATGAAGGCATCCATCATCGGTGCCATTGAAGGCATCCATCATCGGTGCGATTTCGCAGATCTCTGTGGGGACCACTGCCAACACGAGTTCGTTTGAATTCGTCAATGGATGCCGCTACAAAGCCATCGAGCAGTGGATTCTACTGCTTGACCTTTGGGGCAAGCCTTGCTGGTTCAGGCAATCTGGCACACGTCGGCAAGTCGCCCAGGTGGCAGAGCAGGCAGGTTTGGAATGCCAAGCTTCGTTCGGGCACGACTTCTTGTGAAACTTCAGCTCACCCTTTTACCTTTTTGAGGCTGGGTTCAGTCGGATGACTGTACTATGCTGCAACTATGCATGACCAAGAAGGTTGTGAGACATCTGACATTTGATACAAGATGTGACTATGGGTCAAAAACTACAGGGCCTTGAAGAAAACGGTCTACCAGGGACCAGGGATGCCCAGGTTTTGACGTGCCTACATGGACTTGTTGGACCATCCGCCACCGTGAGGCTTCTGCAAGGATTGCATTATTGGATATATATATATACTGTAAAACTCATGTTGTTTTATATGTGTCATGATTGCATTCTAGGTTGATTCAAAGAACCTCATCACCCAGGTCCACATGTTTGTAGGATGGCAGCCTTGGAGGCTTGTGAACATGCTTGGAGCCTTGGGTGTATTCTTTCAGCAGCTATTCCCCAGCTGCTGCAAGCTGTTGAATGTCTTCAAGCTTCCATGTCAGCTAGTCACTTTCCCTGTTGAAGTTTTGAACAGTTACAGTACACCCAGAAACCAACGCTTGGAGATAGAGAGACCCCTTGGCCTTGGCCTGGGGATCACTTGCTGGTTGAAGTGTCACATTCCCCAGGCTCCATTTTGCTTTGCAGGACTTCTTGGCTGAAGCGCCTGTTGCACCAGTCGCGACGCCGCTGCTGCCGGAAAGTGGCGGCACAAGCCCTCATGCGGTTCAGGTAGAGGGATGTGGCAACCGGATGGAGGGTTATATACTCACTTTAGGAGGGTATTGTTCGTGCGTCCGCGGTGAATCCACCACGTGCGCGTAGCGGTGTGTTCGTGCCATGCGTGTGTGTGGGCTGTGCAAATTGTTTGATCATGGGAACTGAGGAATCCAGATCCGTATAGCATATGGTGTGGGGATTGCAAGGAGGGTTTGAGATCTAGCATACCTAATAACTCACTCCGAGACTCACTCCATAGGGTCGAACATCGTGAGATTAAATCAAGAGGATCAACAGGATCCAGGTCGGATGTAGACACGCTGACACGCTGGTGAACACACCCTGTAGAAGCCCAGGGATGAACAACTGCAAGCTGCTAGCGGTTCGGCACTGTGAAGAGCGGAAAGATGAGTCAGAACCTGGAGTCCCAACACCATGTAGCGAACGACCTCGCAGGCAGGTCAAATGCTAGATACTCACACAGACGTTGCTCACTCGCATACGTCCTGTCTTTTCTTTTCAGACCCTTCATACCCGGTATCACCCCCGATACCAAGGGATGTCAAGGGATGTCGCGCCACTAGTCGTGTGTCCGCAAGTCGTGTGTCCGCAAGTATCCCGGTGGACAACCTACAGCCATGTAGGGCCAGGCCAGGGTTGTTTTGGTACAGCTTCTTGGCTCAACAGCTCTGGTGCGAAATTGGTGGATTGAAGAGTCGTGACCACTTTTTCATTGCCGCTTGGGCAATGTGGTGGGTTGTTAGAATCTCACAGAATCAACACATGACAAACACACCAGAAGAATTCTTTGTGACATGTTGGATGAAGCCTTATGAAGACTCATTTAAAGGACCATTTTATTCATGTGGATGGCTGGGCAAAATAACATGCCGATGTTCAGCTGCACGAATGACCTCCCTCAGTCGTTTTCGGATACCTCCCTCTGTCACCGGTGCAGGCCGACGAGGAGACCTGGGAGGAATGGCCAGAGGCGACGGCGACACCGTTTGTGATGTGTTCCTGCGTGTGTTTTGGTTTCTTCGTGTGGCCTTTCTTCATGGCATGGTTTTTGCTTGAACATCATGAACGCTTTGCAAATATTCAATCATTCATGAAGTAAATTGAATATATTATTTGAATGTTGAACTTGTAGTTTTGGGGTACCTAACACCCTTGTTTTTTTTCTGGTTGGGATAGCTGTTTCGATGGCATGTTGACTTCTACCTGGCACGCAGGAATTGTAATTCTTTTACCGCGGGGTATCACCTGAAGTATTTGCGGTGTTCTTTCGCACAGAAGTTGGGTGGTGCACACAAAGTAGACATGACAGTATTTAAAACAACATCAGTGGCACACAGGCGCACAGCTAGTGGCAATAACCTCCCAGGACCAACGAGGGGTTGTGGAGGCGAATGAGAAGGGGCCATGATGGATTTTCCATAATACAGTAGGTATTACTTCGGTATTTGCCAGAATTCTTGATGGTTTTCTACAATTCTCCGCATGAAGCAGATACTCCTGGTCGTCAACACTCAAAAGCCAGACCAGGCTGGAAAAGGCTCCTCGTCACCCCTCCGTCCGCCCCCACCTTGTGGATTTTGCCAGCATATTGTAGCATTCATCCCTGCCGAGTCCCATCACTCCTTTACAGACACCATCTTTCGAAGGGTCACGACTGGACGCGCCCAGGCAAGCCATTCGCCGGTCCCGCCTCTCCAGTCCCTTGAGCCGGAGCCGGACCTGGCAAGTCAGCTCAACGCTCTCCTCAAGAGTCGTGGGGGTCCAGTGGGCGAGGCGTGCGGAGTGAGGACGGGCGGTTTGGGTCCTGTGGGTTAGGGAGGCTAGCGGTTGATTGTGGTATCCTGTGGTTGTGGTTGTCTTCTGCTTTCTGCATGCATAGCTTCTTTCAAACCATTCTTCTATCCTGTCATCACGTGGAGAAAGCTCAAAGGTGGATAATAAGTAGATGGCCACCATGTCAACAGGGAAAAGGGATGAAAAGGGTATGCAGGGTAATGCAGTCACACCATCAGTAGGGTGCAGCCAATACAGTTCTTCGTTTATAACATTCCCAAGCGGCTTAGCTCCCTGCAAAGGATGATGCACCCCAAAAGGACACCAATGTTGGGCATCGTATGGCATCGTGACATGTCGTGATGATGATGTGCTGGTCAACTTCTTGGGCACCTGACTAGACCTTGCCACATAGACTTTCCTAGTGTTCAGCTTCTGGAAGAGCATTGAATCGCCATATGGCGTTTTTGGACTGGAAGATTTAGGTCCATGTTCACTGGACATCTCCCCCAGGGTACGGAATTTGTTTTCAGATGTTGAAGAGTCAAGAGCCAGGCAAAATGGCATTAAGTGGCATGTGTGTAGGACACTGAAGATACAAAATAGGAGGGTAGAGGAATCTCTTGGCATCTCACAGCTTGAGAGAGTTTGTGCTGGTGATACCCTTCAAAGTTCAACAATCTGGCCGAGTTGAGCTGGCCAAACTCCTGTTTCGCCACGGACCATCCAGCTCCCATGGACCATTCAACTTACGTTGTGTGCGCACCAGCTCCGTGTCGCACCGTGCTCTTTCTGGCTCCATCGATGGCCAGCGTCAATACACAGACTTGCTGTCGTTTAGCATTTAGCATCAATTCATCAGACTAACCGGACCATTCTCAACACGAATGACCACACCAAATCAGAGGCATCGAAGTCAGTCGCCAGTCGGAGAGATCGCTACATGAGAACCTCGGGGTCCAGGTCTCAAAGAACGCAGTTGGGTTACAAGGTCAGTGACAGTGCGGGAGAAGTATGGTATAGTAATATGGTGGTGCCACCGGAGCCGGAGCATTTGGATTGAGAGTTGATGGGTTTCAGGAAGCTAGATGCCAAGTTTCCGGAATTAGCTGAATCCTTCAGAAACACGGATGCAACGCATGTTCATGCCAATCATGTTCCGACCCAGACGTGGTCATCTTAGATCTTCCGTACTCCTCGCTAGGTCCGAGATCTCGGTCGATCCGCCATGACGTTGACGTTGGAACATCAAACCCTGCGAATGCTCATCTTCGAGCATTGTTGCGCCTCTTGGAGTCCGTTGGAGTCCATCAATTTTGGTCTTTCTTATTTTTTCAGATCGGGAGATGGATCATGATGGATTTGGAGCCATCAGGTTTGACATTTATGGGATGAATCCAGTCAGCTTTGATTGAAATGACTGGTGGTCCCTGCCGGCAAACACTAGAGTCACTAGATGATACTAGATGCATAGTTTTTGTGTAGCTTTGCTGTGGCTTGCTAGTTCTTTTGGTGGAGGTGTTGCCAACAAGGATGGCTTTGCATAAGCAAGATGTTGAAAGCACACCACCAGATTCATCTCTCCGGGAGTGACCAGTCTGCATATGACCAGTCTGAGAGTGCCTTTGGTCCCAATCCAAATGACCAGTCTGGGAGTCGGGGAGGTCCACTTACACTCCCGAAAACTAACATGGAAGCGGAAAGCACACTGTTTGTAGAGGAAGATGGTCTTCCAAGAGGCCATTCTCCACTTCCATGTTAGTTTGAGGGAGTGCAATTTTTAGATGTTAAAATCATTTTCACACAGAAGACAGATTCTTAGCAAGTCTTTCAGAACTTGAATTGGCAAGGCCTCGGATGAGCAGTGCCTGGACCTCCTGGTGCTGCAATGCACCTGCCGCTGGTGGCAAAAGCAGTTCAAGCAACGGATTGAGCCCTTGTGAGCCAGCGAAAGATGGATTGGGTGGGAACACCTTCCTGAAAAGGGATGATCTCAAAGCGATGACATTCCCTATTTTTGAGCCAATAATAAGCAGATGCAATTCTAGATTGGCTCGCAAATGATCCCAAGCATTACTGTCTTCGAACAAAGACACCCACCCAACTGGGTACAGGTTCGCTGAAATTTCTGAAAATGATTGAACATGTATGAGCATAGAAGTTCCAGTTCTCTTGTTTTTACCGAACGACCCTCGGTCGGTTTCGTTTTTTTCCTCCGAAAGGCGGGACGGACGATGCCATCGGAGCACCAAACGATCCCCGGAGCAGACGTCACCAAGGCATATTCTTAATTAAGTGTTTGGAGCGTTTTTTTCTCCGAACAAGAGCTAAACAGCGTGAGAGAGCCGAAAGACAGTGAGGGAGCATGAGGCGAGGACACGGGGTCTCCCGAACATCCTCTCATGATTCTCATGTGGCACACAAGGCCACCAAACACGCGGCCTTTTGGAGAGGGAAAGCGCCGTATTTTCACCTGAGCTCCATGGGATCCCCGACTTTTGTTCAACCGGACTCAATCCGTTAGCAAACTGAACGGAGTTTCACCGAGCTGTTGATGATATTTCACCCCCCAGAGGTTTTACAATCCAAGGAGGTTTCTTTATTCATCACTGAATCACCCAAGCTCGCTTGCGTGTTTGGTTTGGAGGTACGGCTTTGCTCTACCGGCCGTCGCTCACGTAGCGATGCACTGGGGCATGTTTACCGAGCACGGAGTCATCTCAACGCGCAACTGGCAGGATGACAGTGCCGCTGGGACGGCAAGGAAGAAATGGGCACTGACCCAGCCATTGCATTTAGCGAGTTGTAGACCGCACTTGAAGAGTTCTTGGAGAGTTTTTGATTCCAATCCATGGTGAACTTTTATAACAGAACACAGTGCCGTGCCATCGGTGGAAAAGAGCACTTGGGCTGGACATAGTGACAAATCGCTTCAGGTATTCTATTTCTCTCCGGTGCCCTTTCTTGGACCAAAATGCTTCGAGAGAAATGGTATCACCAAGTTGGTGTAATTTTCTGAACGTTCGGTGCTCCTTGTATCCATGCACCTCGGGCAAATCAATCGATTCTCCTGCCATTCCCTATTTGTGCACCATTTTTTCGACGTGGCTAGGTATAAGACGACTCCCTTTGGCAGAAGCTCAGGATTTTAAGATTTTTGTATAATTGGTAGAAGTGGGAGACCCCCCAAAGACTCCCCCAGTTCGATTTCCCGAAGAAGAACAATAGACCAAACCTCCATTGGGCCAGCGGTCTTCCTGTTTACACACAAACCTAGGGTGTGTCCCATTACTAACCAGTACCGGTCAGTAAAGGAGGATCACCATAGGATCACTATTTTTTGAGATGCCAACTTTTAGATGCCATCATCATCCACTGGGCCTGGTATTATGAATATACCCATTGCACACCCATAGGAGCAAGAAGCTATTAGGAGCAAGGGCATCGCTATGAGGAACAAAGGGCTTCGCTACTAGGAGCAAGAAGCTACTAGGGTGGGAGAGGTCCACTGCGCTTTCTGAGGAAGTGGTTTGGATCACCGACCCTGATGAGGATCACGGTGACTTTGAGGGATCCAGCGAAGGCGAGGATCAACTTTTGGTGTTTTGTTGTCCTTTTAGGTCTAGATGATGCACATGGGGACAGGAACCCTCAAACTCATATATGCTGACCAACTCATACTCATTAAAACCATTTTTGGTGCTGGTCACACTGAAGCTATGCAGAACAACTAATGACAATACCAGACTTCGTTGGTGCTCCCTATGTGGTCCTTGACATATTTTATACGCCGACTTGACGAAAGGAATATATAGTGTTTGGCAGGGTTTGTGGTAGGACTGTGGTGAATTACTATGAGTTCCAATGAGTTCGGTGTTCTTTCCAGACCTTCCTGCTACTTCGAGGTTCATACCCAGCATAAGTCGACATGCCATGTTTTCACCCTACATGAGATGTTGCGAGGATTTTTGGAAGTAGAATCAATCATGTTGTACTTGAAAGGGGTACAACAAGTGCGTGCCAGAATGATATTGTTTTTCGTACATCCAAGAACCATCATTACCTGCCAGTGGCGAGATGGAACGAGTTGGTGTCATTTGTGCATCACCAGTTGATCGCTTGTTCCAGAGATTTCCAGAGACTGTTGAGATGCCAGTGGGACCAGAGATATCAAACGGAAAGAAATCAGAACATCAGTTTTTGTTTTCATTAGATTTTGTATTACCCATGAAACGATTGTAGACCTGACACGGTTCTTTTTTTATTTTCATGTATTGCAGTATTACTGTATTACATGTATTACTCATGAGTTTTTTGTAATTATTACCCAAAGATGGGCAAGATTGTAAACATCAAAAGACCTCTAAAGGTGGTGACACATGGTGAAACCACCTACATGTACAATCACTCAGGCTCTAAAGTTGAGGGGGGCGATGAGAGAAGCACAAAAATGAAGGTTCAGGTACCACCAGGTGAACGGATACAAATCAGCTCTACTGACCGGCTCAGAGTTCGTAAACGCCTTTCGGCCCTGAATCTATCGCAGGGCTCTGCGGATTCTTTCAGGGCAGGATCAAACACTGGGGCACTTGGGCTTCAAGTGCCTGAGGTTCGGTGTTTAGGAGGTGGCAGAGTCTAACGACTGTTTGAGTCTGGAGTCTGGAGCCCCTAGGGCCCTAGATAGTTGGAGTACTGGCTAGTACTGGTATCCTCCGCGTCCCAAATGCATCGCAGGCTCGAGAATCTCCCCATGGCCAGCCTATCAGTTATGGCATGCCTTGATGAAGATGCTGAGCTGCGATGGCCGATCGTGACTCCCGATCACCTCGAAATACCTGAGGGTGACGAACTTGCTATGGCCAGGTGGCCAGGAGCAGTGATGAAATAACCACCTTTGAATCAAAGGGCTTGGGTGGGAAGATGTGGCAAGCGAACCATCCTCCCGAAGAGCACTTGAGTTGTGTCCACCTTGCCTCGCACTTGAGCACACATTGGTGTCAGGCCTGGCAGTTGGCCGGTATAGTTGGCAGTTGGACTGACCTTGTGCCCCCACAAACCCAGCAGGTGTTGATCATGGTAAGCATCCGCAGTTCACATGGTCACCCCTTGATCCACAGATCAGGATGAAACACATCTCTAGGCGGTGTTCGAACGCAGACCTGTCCGCTTCTTGCAAGTGACATGTTGGAGTGTGGCAGTCTGCCAACACACCAAAGGTCTGGAAATCAACATAATATGACTGTGGTGTTTACATTTGCGATTGGACCTAGCCACACCCAGTTCAGTGACTAGCAGCAGTCAGGTCAAGAGAATACCCTGAATGCTAATGGGACCAGGGAAAGGGGCAGAGAAAGGAGCTTCGGCGCCCTTGAGGAGAGTTTGTGCTTGGCATTCCTCTCAAGGAAAGCCTCAACCGTCGCTGGGAATTGGTTTAAAGCCTTATGAGGATGACAGTGGGTGTGGGATGCTGCTGGTACCTGTTTTTTTGGTGCTTTCCAACGCTAAGTGACCCCAATCCCTTTTTCATGCGGGAAGCATTTTGAATGGTTCCTCTTGTGACAGAAGGTGGGTGTTGAAGTTGAAGTGGTAAAAATATAAGAATATCAGATGCTGGTTGTTTTTTGTATATATATCCATATACAATAATATAATATATATATAGAGAGATAGAGAGATAGATAGATAGGTAGATAGATAGATAGCTAGCTAGATAGATAGATAGATAGATAGATAGATATAGTAGATAACAGGCGATCAATCATTCCTAATTATATGGTGTAAGGCTGTCCAGTGGTGGCTGCGAACCTAGAGGATTGGACACGTTTCATTCGATGAGAAGAACAGGAAGGTTTGCCGCCCAGTTGAACCACATCTGAAAGCCCATACGAACCCGCTTCCCCAAGACATCCCAAGACCTCTTTGATGAAGTTCATGCGAGTTCCTAATTTGTTTTTATGATGTTCTCTTTGCAAGGTCTGGTGTTCAACTAGATCACCACCCACGGAACTTCTCATAACAGGCTTGCCCACACAACGACCCACCGAGGTTTGGTCAAGGCCTCGAGGCCTGCCGCTTGCAGTTGGGTCCACGGAGCCGTCGCTTAGACATCGAGGCAGGTGCTGTGGCGGGGGACGGAGTGAGGTGAAAAACGCTGGTCAAACCAAGGGGAGCAAGAGTCGAGATTGATGTGCGACTTGAGTCAACATGAAGTAGAGATTGATGTTTCTCAATCTGAAATAACGTGCTTTCAGCGCTTTCCGCTTGGTCATTCTGCTTCATCAAGGGGCCGACCAACGACCAATTTACAGTGGCCAGGGGCCCGGTGCATGTGCGATCACTGAAGATTTCGCCGTGTCACACGATGTCTTAGGCCCTGAAAAGATGAACTTCTTGGATGGGCAACGGCTTATTCTGAAGCATCGTAAAGCTGAGCAAACAAAAAAGAACTTATGGCTTTTTGACATGAAGCCAAAAAAGGAATCCGGCCTTTCCAAGAAAGAACGTTGATCTCGCCCAATTTTGAAGTCTAGCCCAACCTCCAGAGTTTGTGAGCTCCCAAAATAGTCCTTGCCCTGCAAGACAGTTTACTGTAGACTTTGAAGGACTGGGTAGCTCAGTGCACCTGGTTTTCGGAGGACCTTATTATCATTTTATCCTGTACTCCGACGAACGCATCACCTGGAAGTGGAGTCCATAAGTTCATGTTCTAAGATGATAGTCCTCCCAGTGACCATGCAATTCCGCGATTCCCGATTCTTTGCCATGCATTTGTATGTTTGATGGGGGTTCAAAAGCACCGGATCTCATTCTGAGTGCCTTGCTGTTCATGTCGCAGGTCTTTCAGCCTTCCAGCGAGACCATATGGATGATGCGACGCATGGCGCCTGCTGAGAGAGAGGCCTGGCACACGTGCCGGGTGTGGAGAGGCACAAAGGGTGCTCTCACAAGTGTCGTATAAAAGAGTGTGACCCGACCTGGTTTTGGAAAGAGACACTCTCTGATGTTCTCAACCTTGATTGGAAGATTTGTTCTTTCGTACAAAGTCAGTGTTCAGAGGACCAAAGTTCTCTAGTGAAATGCACAATCAGTTCCAGAAGCGGCAAGGTTTTCTCAAGCACCAGTTTTGCACGGTGTGTTTGATCGAATACTGTTCCAACTGTGGCATAGTAAAGGCATTGCAAATGGCCAGGGCCAGGAACTCTCGTCCAAACAGGTACGACAGCCTTTTCCCCTCATGGTTCATGTCTCACTTTGTCGTCACCATCCGCCATCTCCGGCATCTCATGTATTCAGCATGGCATAGCATGTATTGAGCAAACAAGGTGGCCATGCTTGGCGGCCACCGGTTGCGGCGCCCAGCAAGGTGGCCATGAAGAACCACCTTCCATCCTTCAAGACGCTTTGCTGCCACTGGGCCGCCAGAAATCCTTCCATGGACGGCGAACGTATGTGGAGTCGGGAGTGCTTTTAGATGGCCGGAGCCATCATGCTAGGCAAGAAGACGTATGTATTATCTAAAATGCAACATATATATCATATATATAATATAATATATATATATTTTTTGTGATGTTAGTGTATACTTGGTGACGTAGTGATGGATCTCAGGAACATGCCCTCACTAGCCTTGATCGGCCAGTTTCTTTGAGCCCGTGGTAGAATCAAAACGACGCCGTACCCTTGCAGAACTTTGAAGCCCAGCCCTTTGCATCTTAATTTACAGACATGTCTCTACCCATAATCACAAACTCAGGAGTGATCAGCAGGGGAAGGAGTATTTATTTGGGGCATTTGAACCTTATGACCAAGATGCTGAGGTGTTCGTTCCGCAATGAATACTTCAAAGACCCTGGGGAGTGAAAGTAAGTTCCGGAGCAAGACGCCAGTCACATCGAAACGATCAGGATGGGTCGACGGAGGAAATCATCCAATGTACCTATACTGAAGGACTCAAGAGCACACTTTGATTTGCTTCTCTGGAATGTGCGGCGGAAGGTTTCCAATGCCACTTGAGTTCAATCCTTGTGTGTTGGGATGCCCAAAACGCATGGGATCAGAGGGCGGGGTGCTGAGCACCCCAGGTCACTCCGAACGAGGCCAATTCCTTCGGTCGGATCAACGGCGTGTGGTGAAGGGCACCGCCGCGGACGGCGCACGTCTTTCGAGACTTTGCCCCTTTGAAGCTCGGCATCTCCGTGCTTCTCTTTGGGGAAGTGAATCCTATGTACAGACATGCACATTGACATACAGAATCCACTGAATCAAAAAGATGTAGACTGCTTAAACAGCTTTTTGTTGTTTCCTCAAGCGGTGTAAGAATTCAAGTGGCACGAAAAATCTATCTGTCCACATCGCATATCCTTTTGAACCCTTTATGAAAGCACAACTTGACGTAAGCAGGAGGTGATATGAAAAAGAGTAGGACAAGGAGGGTATATTTCTTGTGGATATTTTTAGATTTTGTATTCTTATTTTTTGTTTTGATAGCTTTTGCCCTTTGCGGGCTTGTGGCTTTTGGTGGCTTTTGGCATTTGCTTGCTTTTGTTGGCTTTTGGGGTTTCTGACGACTTTTGGTGGCTTCGGTTGGCTTTTGGTGGCTTCTGTTGGCTTTGGCTTCTGTTAGCTCCCTGTTTCCTGTCCTTCAGTCTGCTTTGTCCGGATCTCTGCATGATGTGCTGCTGCTGTCATGCTCTCCTGTGGTGGTCCGCATTCGGCGTGTGTTGCAGAAGTTGGCCAAAGCCTGGACCGGCGGTGCTGCACCTCCGGCGTCACTTGTAGGGCCTGACCTTCTTCTTGCCAAAGCTGCGGCCTGGCGCAACTGCGTCTCGCAACAAGGGGAGCTACACCTACTTGGTAATTAGTGTGGACAGTACTCACTCTCGTCGATGGCCGATACTGGCTGCTTGGCGGTTTCTGGTACCCATCCCTCAACGTGAATCTTATCTGTCCTCGGATGTTGGCAACTCTAGCCGGGCGGCCGTTCAAGTAGAGTTGCTGTTTGATCTTGGGTACCGAGCTGTCATGAGTTTGGAGCTTGGCAAGGCCTTGTGTGGTCATGATGCCTTGCTGCCGCAAAGCGAATCCTTCTCTGTTTTGCGCAGTTCTGCTGGCGTTGACAAACAGCAGTTGGCGCCTGCCATTCACATCACCACTCTTCTGGTAATGGGGCTGCGGCGTATCCGGGCTGAATTTGCTAAACGGGTCCAAGCTTCGCGGGCTGTTGCTGTGGTCGCTTACTGCCCGTTTGTTCCCATCCCTCCCCCTGACCCGGCGGTGGGTCCCTCTCCTTTCGCCCGCTGGCTCTCTACACCCGGGGGTCAAGCGTGTGTCCGGGAGTTACGGTGGCTGCTTCCTACAGATTCAGTTGTTGAATCCCGGCTGCGGCACGAACCTGGTGGGGTTAGGGTTCTTTCTTCTGCTCATCTTCTTGCACTTCAAGCTTGTGGTGCCCCCCCCCTTTGGCAGCAGGGTTTGCCCGCTTGGGGCCCCCAATTTTGTGCATGGGAGGACGCTCGTGCTGTTCTCCATACTGTACTCGCTGTTCGTGTCCCTCGTTGTTGCCTCGCTCCCCGCTTACCATCTGTGACCGCTGTGGTTGTGCAAAGGTAGCTGCTGTGTGCCCTACTTCCGATGCGGTGGGGTGCCCTTGGTGTCGCCATAGACACGGTTCGGCGTGTCGCTTGTGTCATTGCTTGGTCCATTCGAAGGTGGGTGGAATCGTGGCACGCATGTTGCGTATGATACGTCGCCCCATGAGACTGTTTTGTGGTGTCCTGATTGTGCTTGGGAGTGGGTACTTCTTGTCCAAGCTTGCCCCAGGCGGCAGGCGCTCGCTCCGTTGACTGGGAATCTGGTCCGGCATCTTCGCAACGCCGCGGCGCATACTCAACCAGGGGCTGGGGAAACCGATACTCGTGCACGAGGGCCAGTTACCTGAGCGAAGTTGCGGCGTTGGCTTCTCGGCGTTGTCCGTGGCCAAGCCCGTCCTAAGGAGCAGGTGTTTGGTTTGTGTCAAACCGCGTTCCCAGATGTTGACTCGGAGCTCCTGTCTTCTGTTTTTGAGCAGGTTTTGAAGCTTGTTTGTCGCGAAGGGCTTCTGGTCGTGACTCGTCGGGGTGGTGTGCTGGTTCTGGGGCCGGCCTAGGGCCTTGCCGCCTAGCCGTGGTTCGGTTGCTTTTGTTTTTGGTTCTGTTTTCATTGGTTTTTCCGCTCTTGGTTTTTGTCTGGGCTTGCGCGTGGTGGTTCTTTTGCTCTTGCTCGCCCCCTCCCCCCCTTTTTGTTGTTGTTGTTGTTCGTTTGTGTTAGACTCTTGAAATAATAAGCGGCAAAGTGCATGATACGGTAAGAAAGGTTGTCCCCTTCTCTCTTTTCAAGAGACTAGCACCAACGACCCGTTGTAGGGTTGCTTCTTCGAGAACTTAGACGAATCGACCTGTTGGACTTCAACAAACATCAAGCATGATCATGGGAATTGTATGTGCTGGTTGGAGAACTTAGACTTATCCTACCTTATCCACCTGTTTTCGAAGGCTACCACTATGATGTGTTGATCCTGAAGACTGCAGCTTGAATGTGTGAAAAAATATGATCCAAGCTTGGCTGCCTGAAGGGAGAGGATCCTCCTAGAAGAGGCCTCTACAGACGACCCGGTGGTAGTTGTGTTGGCTGAGGGGGGGGGTCTGGATCAACAAGGGGTCGTGTGTAAAGGTCTCTTGAATTAAGTAGAGAATGAGCATGGGCACGGGGCGCCAGTAATAGTCGCTTCCTTGTTGTTGTTGTTGTTGTTTGTTGTTTGTTTGTTTGTTTGTTTGTTTGTTTGTTTGTTTTGTGTTGTTGTTGTTGTTGTTGTCGTCTTTCCTTCCTTTTTCTTACTGTGTTTTACTTCTTAAAATTTATTTTCTTTATTTCTTTTCTTTCTGCCTTTTCTTTATTTCTTTCTTCTTTTCTTTTCTGTTCTCCCCTTCCTTTGGTGCTCTGCCCTCTCCTCCCTGCCTTCACCTCGTTTCCTTTGTTGCTGTCAGTCTCTTGTCTGGTCAGGTTGGGTCTGGTCACGGTGGGGATTCCCCGTTTCAATTTACCTTCGGGCTGTTTTTCCCTGCTTGATATTTGCCCAGAACCAGATGGTTTGGTTCCCTTGCCCTTGTCACGGGGTATATTCCACGTTGGCCTTTCAGTCAGTCATCTTAGTCCACTGCCATTCAGTCCGTACGGTGGCCTGGGTTTTTGCGAAGCCATGCTGTTCGTCCTCGTGATCTGGTGTTTTGTGAGCCTTGTCGGGGCTATGGAATCGGAGCTCAGACGGCGGGCCTTGGGAGTGGCACTAACGTTAGCAGAGCAATCAGTGCATCTCCTTCCTGCTCACCAAAGTGGCGCGGTGCCATACTCAGCTCCACACACGTGTCCATCTCCATCGTTCTCATCACCAGAGGTACTGAGTGGACAAGGGCATGGGCACGGGCAATCAATCCAACCTGGGCCGCCTCCGACCGGGCCCTTGCCACACTGGATGGCGTCTCCACCTTTGCAGACCGCGACGGTTGGAAGTGTTGTCCACACGGCTCAGCCACCAACACCTGCGAATCCACCCCGACGTTCTCGCTCACGTGGCCGTCATCGTGAATGATGGACAGACTGGTAGGCCGGTGCACCACTGTGGGGTCCGTCGCTCCAGAGATGAAGAGCCAGTCGGAACAACTGCTTTGGGTCAACAGGATGTGAGGCCCAGGAGGGAGCTGCCTCCCGTCATCCGCCTTCGAACTCAGGATCTGTGCGTGAGTCAAGGGCCCCTGTCTCGAAGGAGTCTGCAGCGTGCTCCAACAGCGCAATGGGCGACTTACCAGCAGTGGTCGACCAGTTTTTTTGGGTGCTTCCTCTTCGGGACAGCGCGCTTCTACCATCCGGGCAAGTCAAGGTCAAAGACACGGAGGGCAAGTGAATGAGAATCCATCTTCACGAGTTTCTGAAAGTGTGGCAGGGCGTTTTGTCATGGGCACAGAGGGGCCTGCTATTCCGACCATCGCAGAGCCGGGTACACTTGCTCCAATGCAACCTGCTGGCCTGTACTTGCGTGGCATGTCAGTAGCCATGTGGACAATGTGGCGCGATTGTACCGGAGCTTGGCTGCGGTTTCGCCATCCCTCGATGCTTTGCCCCGGGTCTTTTCCCTTCGGCAGTATCGTTCGGGAGCGGCCATAGTCATGCATCCAGCATTCGCTGATCCAGAAATCGTGGACCGTGTCCTGCATGAGCTCGGGGCTGATTCACCCACTTCGCGCTCTGCTCAAATTGCCACGAGCGATGGGCCGGTAACCATCCGGCTGGCCCGTGAGGCCCCAGCGCTCACTGAAGGGTGGCCCTTGGCAACAAGGCGGCAAGAGTTTTTGGAAAACGACGGCGGCAGCGAGACGGATGTGTGTGCGTTTTGTTGTGACGCTTTCGGAGCTGACCCTGAGATCTGCTGGTGGAGGTTGTGCTACTGACCACAGCCACTGCTGTGAGTCGACTCACTCACTCACTCACTCAGTCACCCACTCACTCACTGTATTCTAGTTTTTGTTTTGATAGCTTTTGCCCTTTGCGGGCTTGTGGCTTTTGGCATTTGCTGGCTTTTGTTGGCTTTTGGTGGTTTCTGATGACTTTTGGTGGCTTCGGTTGGCTTTTGGTGGCTTGTGTTGGCCTTTGGCTTCTGTTGGCTTTGGCTTTTCGTGGCTTTGGTTGGCTTTGGCTTTTCACTGTTGCACGGAACGCGCTACCGACTAAAGAATCCAAGAGTTGGCAACGATCGTGCTTGCATTTGTTGTGGCGGCTGACCATTTCAACCTTTATACTGCTGTGATGGATGGATGTTACTCACTAGTCCATCCTCAGGGGAAAGTGAAGTCCCAATCACAGTTGATGTAAGAAGGTATTGTTTTTACCCAGATGATTGCAACAATATGCTCCTGAAATCGATGGCTCAACGGCAAATTTTCGGAAGGCTGTTCGTCAACTACGTAGGCTGCAGAGTTTACGACGACGCCTCCAGAAGCTAGTGGATGACCCATCCTTGTCTCCTGACTGGCCTCAGCTTTCAATGGAGTGGTATGTTATCACCACTGCCAAATTTGATGGTTGTGTCTTCCACGAGTGGCTATCCTCCTGGTCTGAATAGCCAACTTTGGATACCTTTTTCCCTGACTTGAGCTACTTGGACCAGACATGTCAATTGACACAATACCACGTCAGAATCAGAGGAACGGCGCAGACTCAATGATGCAAGGAGGTTCGAACGGCTGTACGACCAACGATGGGCCAGTCATGCAGGTGCCTTTCGCAAGATTCGGCCGGTGGGGAACCCTTGCCTTACCATGGTCAAGAAGACTTCTGAATTTGCTGTTGTCTCGGTGCAAGGGGCAGGCACGGGCTTGCTTACCTGTGTCATTCCTGACTTGGTGGCTCCCTCTCCGTTGTCAGAGTATAAGCTGGGTGATGCGCAATTGACCCTCTGTGCACAACACAAAGATGAATTTGATTTTCTCCAGGTTGACGCAGAGTTACCCATTCCAGAACATTCAGACCTGCAGGTCTGTGTTCCTACCACTGACACTCAAGAGGTGGCTGATACACTCAACGGATATTGGTCGCAGTTTTGGACTTGGGATGATGAACCCACCACCTGGGATGATTTCTCCTCACTTCTTCATCAAACACCTGCCCTCCCAGAAATGGATGTTACCCTCACGTTTGCTGAGTGGAAACAAGCGATTCAGCATTTGAAGGTGAACACTGCCAGGGGCATTTGTGGATGGTATGCACAGGAACTCCGAGATTTGCCAGATCAAGCACTTGACGACCTACTCCGGTTGTTTAGCTCTCAGCTGTCGTCAATGCCAGCCCATCTTATGACGGCTCGTACCATTCCTTTGGGCAAGACAAAGGAACCAGATCAGGCACATCTGACCAGGCCTATTACCATTCTCTCCTTGCTTTACAGGCTTTGGGGGCGGGCTACTACCACCAAGATCCTGCAGTATTGGTCAGCTTCATTTCTGCCACAGGTGGGCTTTTTGCCAGGTCGCTCCCTGGCCAATGCCATGATTGCTTTCCAAAATCGACTGGAACAAGCACATATGGGCGCGAATGTTTCCTATGGTGGGCTGACTTTGGACCTCATCAAAGCCTTTAATTTCATTGGCCGCGAACCTGCAGCCGAAGCAATGATGCACTATGGTGTTCCCTCCGACTGGGTACAGTTCTGGTATGCTTCCATTACCGACATGCATCGGGTCTGGGAAATCAATGGTAGTCTCTCTTCTCCTTTTCATCCCACCACTGGATGTCCTGAGGGAGATACATGGTCAGTGGTTGCAATGTTAGCACTTTCAATTGTTTGGGTTCACATGCTTAGCCAAAGAGAGTCTCCTGTGGCATCCTTGTGCTATGCTGACAATCTGGGCTGGTCAGCGTCAGATACACAAGCCCACCATGTAGCTTTAACAGCAACCATTGACTGGTCGACCTCTCTCCGACTCCAGGTTGACTGGAAGAAGACGTGGGTCTGGGCAACTGACACCCACCATTCCTGTGCCTGGGTTCATTTGTGACAACATTTTCCTCAGCTCCAAGAGGTCTTGAAGGTCACCAATGCACGCGAATTGGGCTATATGATTGCTTATTCCCGCTGTCAAAACAAACGTACTTTTTTCGAGAGGCACACTGAAGCTCTTGAACAGTGTCGGAAAATTTCTCGTTTGCCTCATTCGCTTTCAGTGAAGGGTAACCTTCTTCGAGCGCCATTGTCACGCATGTTGTATGGCACAGAACTGCATATGGTTTCTTTGGAGCATCTCCGACAACTGCGCACTGCTATGGCACGGGCCATACTGGGACCCCAAGCACAGCCTAATCCCTATCTGGCTGTGTCTGTGCTGCATCGAGACGTCCTTGATCCTCACTTTCAGCTCCTCTACCATGTAATGCGCTCACTTCGACGATTCTTGTGGTCACTTTCTCCAAGTGAGCGAGACAAGTTCTTTCGTCGGGTCGTTCGACATGACGGACAACCGTGGAGAGTCTTTGGACCAGCAGGAGCACTCCGCTACCATCTTGACTTCCTTGGCTGGACCATGACTAAGCATGGCGAAATTCGGACAGATGCCTTTGGGAAACTCTCATTTTTGGGATGTTCACCAGATTTGCTGCGTCAAGAACTTATTTTGTCCTGGGAACGGCATTTGCAATTGCAACTCCAGTCCCGACAGGACTGGCATGGTGCACCCCAGATCGACATTCCCACGACTGCCTCCTTGTTCGTACGACTTCCGGCAGATCGACAGCGCATTCTTGCAGGTGAAATCACGGGTTCATTTCAGCTTCAACATCGTAAGACAAAATGGATTTCTGATTTGGATGATCAATGTCCACTCTGTGGCGAGGAGGACACAATTCTCCATCGGCGACTTTTTTGTCCGGCGTTGCAAAGTGCCCGCATCCCACATGAGGCAATCGTGCAGCAGCTGCAAGAATTGGACCCCATTCTGGCCACACTCCCTGTGGTTTTTCGTCATCCGGAGCATTGTTTTGACTTCTGGTGGAACAATAGGGTTCCCCCTGCTGCAATGACTGACGACGCCCGCAGGACCCTGGAGCATGATTATGGCAGAGACCTTCGACCACTGGTTTTTACTGATGGTTCGGCTGCCCCACCTGACTGTCCAGAGGCCAGGCAGGCGGCCAGTGCAGCAGTACTCCTGTCCAGACAGCATGTGGAGACCTCTGCTCTGATAGCAAGCCTCCTTCTGGACTTTGATACTACACAACGTATACCAGCAGAGTTTGTCACCATGTTTGTCACCCCGACCAACGGTTCCCAAACTATTCCTCGCTCGGAACTGGCCATTGTCGTTCGTGTTCTTCAGAGCTGCCCACGTGTTGAGGTGGTCACTGATTCGCAATACGTCATTGATCAACATGCCATGCTTTTACAGCAAGACCAAATAGGTAGCTGTCAGGCCATGCCCAACTATGACTTGCTCCAACAGTTACATGCTTTGCAGAGGCAGCCAGGCTATGACGTTGTGTTGACCAAGGTGAAATCCCATCAGTTGCAATCAGGTCCGCCTACATGGTCGAGGCTCCTGCAATTGGGCAATGAGGCAGCTGATCAGGCTGCCAAGGAGGCCAGGAAGTCTCCAGTGGCAACTTGTCGACAAGTTCCTCTTCAACATCACCAAGAAGAACGACAACGGGTGCAAGCCCAATTTGCGTTGTGCTATGATGTGGGATGTCTTCGCAAGCAACTCCTGGCGAAAGTCTCACCAGAGGCTCGGGACCCTGATCCGTCCCAGGCCACACCAGTCCTGCAGTACGATGATACACATGCTTTTCCACCCGGTCTACATCTTTCTCCCCTTCTGCGCTACAGTCTTTGGGGTGAGGGTTTCAGTGCAGGAATTCTGTACTGGGCCACCCATTTGAAGTGGCCAAGCGGAAGCTTCCTTACAGATAAGGCTGATGTGGCATCACCAAGGGTGACTTGGATGGAGCTCCTGCTGGACTGCCAACTCCCTTTACAACTGTATTGGCCGCACAGTATCGTGAGCTCCAAGTACCCACCTGTGCTGAGGTACCCGGCTCATCATGGAGTGCATCAAGTTGATATTCCGTTCTCCTGGACCTTGAGCAACTTTCGAAGGGCCATGAGGCATCTTGAAGATTTGCTACAGATTTCCTTGCTGCCCCGATCACGAGGCACTGTCAATTCGCTCTATCGAGTTGGAGCACGAGGCCACAAGAAGGGAATACCCTGGAGGCCGCAGCTGTGCTGTCCCCAGGAAGTTGAACAGACGCTCAAGGCCTATTTTACCGAACACCCACGCTGCACCCAATTTCGGCATCAGCCACAATTGCTTGAGCGCACACCTCATTTTGTGGTGAACTGGACTCCTGCCGAAGTCTCTTATGATCCCCAGATTGGCAAAAAGCGCCTACAACGTCTCGTAGCTTGGAAGCAGAACGGCAAACACTGCCCACTGCGTTTCGCATCTCCAAAGTGAGACTGCCTTGTTCTTGGACTATGGACCTTCCTTGCCCTGTCAGCGGGGGGGGGAGGAATCTTAACCAGTGCGACTGTCCCTTTTCCTTTTCCCTTTCCTTATAAGACAGCAGCCAAGAGGAAGAACACAGTAATACCAGATTTACAACAACAACAAAATAAAATCCGATCCCGTAGGGTAGTACCTGAACCGACCTTCAAACCAAATTGTTTTCAACACAACCGCCTTGAACTGCACCTACTATGTGATGAGCAGCAGGGAAAACCATACAAAACGAAAACACAAGAGAAAATAAATGGAGGAACACGAAATAAAAAAACGCGGAGCACCCAGAGAGGTATAAGAGACAAATCACATCATGTTTGATCTTTGGAGTGATGTAAAAATTCCTTTCGCAATTTTATGCACTGATCACTGATACAAAAGATATTTAATATACAGCTATTGTAAAGGTTTGGACTATCCTGCGACTCTGTTGCAACCCCCGACCCCCGGCAAGATCTGAGCCATTCTCACAGTTCTCGCATTGCGTGTTAGGGGCATTGTGATATGGATCCTTGGGTGGCCAAGCGGATGAGGGTGCCGGGAATCTAGTTTGCCGTTCATTGCTTCATATTGCGGTTTTTTTTGGCGAAGGGACGGTGCTGTTGATGTCAAAGTGTGGGCACAACAACAGCACAAACTCCATGGTTTCCAGCGATTTTGGAATTGTTTCTTCACCAAAAGGGTTCGTGCACACATTTGTGGGCCTTAAGAGAACATGAACCTCCATTAGCAATGGCCACACCTCTACTAAACGCGTATAAATATACTGTATTTGTTTTCATTGTTCCATAGATGTGGACCCTGTTCAGTCGATGCTTTTGTGTTCACCTATATAGTGTAGCATGCCCAGAGTCAGCTTAAGAAGTGCATTCTACCTCTATCTTCTTCTTCAACCTCTGTCTTTGCAGATCTAAGGAAGGAGCTTGTCCTGTTCTTCCCTCAGCGGGCATGAGCTGTTGACAGTTGATCATTCCGTTTCGCAGAACCTAGTAGAACAACAACATCTCAAGAATCAATGTGAAGATGGCTTGAAGGCCCATCTTGCTCCTAGTTGCTCGGTCACACCTGGTGCAACACCATTTTGTTTGGCAGCATAGGGATCCATAGGGGGCATATCAATCCAAAATCCCTTGTGTGCTTGAGTGCCAACGCCACCGTATTTCATAGGGTGTCCAAGGTTGCCCAAGGTATTTCACAAGATGTTGCCCACTTTGACCGCATCGCCCTTTGTTCCTAGTAGCTTCTTGCTCCTAGTAGCGATGCCAGGAGCCCCTAGTAGCGTTCTTGCTCCTAGTAGTAAGGCCAGGATCTGTTTCATGTTTTGCAGAGCTTCATTCCCCAGGAAAGTTGTGCACACAGTCGGACCGAAGGGGCCCAGCCCGAAGTTGAGGGCGAAGAAGATCTGTTGCCACGAAGACTTATGGAAGACTTTTCACTCCACCACCCTGGAGACATTGAACGAACGGCTTCATTCTACCCGAACATCATATCACTCAACCAGTACTTCGTTATGCTTCTTTTGCACTCAGATGGTTTTCGAATTAAAGGCAATTCTCTTTTGGACTAAACTGAATCTGTCATCCAGACAGTTATCGAGTCCTGAAGTAGTCGAGCGCTGAGTGAATTTTTGCGCATGGCTAGTTGGCAGTTTCTGAACAATTTCTTGTACATATATATATATATCTTTTTCATATTATATATACGGATTGATCATTGTTTTGGACGCAGTACTCGTCAAGAACTTCTACAGCATGCACCAGGGAAAACAACCAATTGAACTCAGGAACAACAATGTAGGTGCCCACAGGCTACAACATTCAGTCAGTGTGTCAGCTTGTTTAATTACGTCATGATTTTGGTGATGCTTCTCGGCTCAAACAAGCCGGACAATCAACCTCAAAGATAAAACAGCCCCAGGGTTGGTTGTCTAGAAGAAAGACGGTATGTTTTAAGCCTCAAGGGACATGCATTCTCGTTTTGTGGATTTTCTGTCGAAACATCAGCCCCACCCCTCTGCGTAGCTCTAGAGTTTGGTTGTTTCGGCAACGAAAGAGGCGTGGAAAACATAGTGTAGTACGCCCCGGGATGTGGGTGAGATACATTGTTTCTATTAGCTTCTTTGTTACTAGTAGTAAGGCACCTGCTACTACTAGCGTGGCACTTGTTTCTGTACGTCCCGGGATGTGGGTGAGATTGCCGATGAGATCGTATCCCACTGCTTAGATGAGATCGTATGGGGGTACAAGATGAGTGAAAGGTGAAATGGATTCAGGAGTGCGATATAACCTGAGCAGCTGTTTTAATGTATCTCTTTGGGCCTAGTCCACTTCATAGAATGGATCGACTTGGCCCGACTCCGGCCAACAAATTACGGCATGCTGAAACTCCCGGCACAGTAAAACTCAAGCACTTTTATAAGAAGTGAATTATTGTGGGGATGCCCGACTGGGCAGCAAGTCTACAGCTTTTCCCTCTCACCCCCCCAGCCAACTCCTGCCCTCGCTGCACTTCCCCGGTCTTTGGCCAAACCCGCTCTCACCTTCTCCGCTGCGCTGCCATGGCAGCTCCACGGGTTGGAGCGGTTCCTTATTTGGTCGTGGTTCCTGTCCTTCTTGATTCGCTTCGAACATCCCTGTCCTGGCTTGTGCCATTTGGAAGTCCTGGCAGTTGACGTCACCATTTCAGGAACATAAAAACTGAAGAACGCAAAGTACACTTAAATCCTGGGGATCAACCCTAGGTGTCGGTAGCAAGGGGACTGACCGGACTTTTGGTGACCTTGGTCCTGCAAACAGCTTTTTCTGGCGACATCACTCACTTAGCTAGAATTGAGGCTTACGAGATCTTACGAGGTATTGAGGCTTACTGGCTTCAAAGAAGAGCGGCTTCATCTTTGAAGTGTTGGAAAGGATTCAACGGACGGATCCAATTGGTCAGTGTTGGTTGTCTCGACTCTATACCTTTGGCTGAGAGTTGTTCAACACACCCAACAAGTGCCACAAACGAAGACGAAGAGTTTGACCTCGGTTCGATCCTCGGATGTTGAAGTGCACAGGGTTCCCGGCCACGCCGCCGCGGCTTCTTTGCACAAAAGAACACATGCCCTCTCAATGGAACACAGTCGATGCTTCATTGCAGAGACAAAAGCTGGTAGATCATCAATATCATCCATTTCATCCATTGTCCATTACATCTTTCTAGGCACTCTTTCAGTTGTCAACCTGGCCGCTTGGTTTTTGTTGTTCAGCGAATCATTGTTGTAGCAATCGTTGTTGTGATTCTTGCGTCAATGGCTGCTGGTGATGAGATATCATCGGTGTCGTCGTCGTCGCGGTCCTAGCCGCCGCCGTCGCCGTTCCCCCACCGGCACGGCACTCACCACCGGTGCTGCTTGGGACGGCCGTGCCCGTGCCCGCTTCGCCAGCTCAGGAACCTCGACCAAGCTCTTCCTCACAGGCACCCATCTCTCCAGCCAAAGGCCGACGACGTGCACCGCCCAGCGTGGATGCCTTGGAGCTGGAGGACTCAACGGCGTCCGCCGGGTTGCCGTCGTGTCACTCGAGCCCAAAGCGGAGATCCTTGCGGCTCTTGGACGAGGACGGGGGCAGGGGTTTTGCGAGTTTGGGACCAGTTGTGGGCTTGTGGAGTGACGTTCCTTTTTCCATGCTGAGCTGTCACCGAGTGATGTTGCCACGTACCTCTGACACAGAAGCTCTTAGCTTCCAGAACCTCAATGATTGAGACTGAATGTGACTGAATGAAGTTTGAAGCGCAGTCCTTTTGCCGCGCACCTGAGCTTGTTCCGTGGGCTGTCATGTTCGTTCAAACACTAAACTCCCAAGAGACAACATCCCTAGATCTCCCTAGATTCCCTAGTAACGAACTTTTCCTTCTTATTTTTCGCTGCAGATGTCCATGCATCTGTCAAGAGTATGGACACATTGGATGTTGGGGTGATCAATTCGACCACCCCAGGAGGAGGAACTTTTGCCGCCTCCAATTTCCAGGCGGCACTTTTCAGGACGTTTGGGATGTCAGACAGGTCGGTTCTGCGCGATGTTCCACACCATGAATGTAAGTCGTGTCAGATGTTCTGCTTTACGAACGTGAACCCCGCAAGTTTATGTTGACCAGATTTTCAGGCAAAGACGGGAGAGACCCGCAGCCAGTGTGAAAGATTCAAGTAGCCCGGGCAGTGGAGAACCGTCAAAAGGACCGGACATCAATGGACCCAAAGACTGGCACCATTTGGGGATGTTGAGGGTGTCTCTCATTCTTCTAAATGGACAATAATGACATAATCATCTCTCATCTCTCATGGAGTTTTTAGACCTTCTGAGGGATGGTTTTTGTAGTCCAAAGTGATCGTCCTGGGCCCTCTGAGATTGCAGGTGACAATGGCCTCCTTAGGATTTGGAATTTGAGTCCACTACGTTCGGGTTGGTGAAAACGCCAAGGCCAAGGGTGTTGCAGCAAGGTGCCTAGTTTGCCACTGGTAACAATAAGTCCTTCATAATTCATAATATTCATATTATTCCGGGCTTATGAGCCACCGACCTCGCATCTAAGACCGGAGTTTGGCAGCCCCTCATTTATCGATGCTGTTGAACCCCCAGGTGCCAAGACTTATGGACATGGCTCAGAATAGGATACCGTTATCCTTGAAACCGGCTGTTTCAAGAAAATATATGAAAATATAGATAAAATATAGAGATAATATCGACTATATATACCAGTAAGTTCCCTGGCGGTCTTAAATTCGTCTTCGTTCCTAAACCTTCCTTCGTTTCGTCTTGGGGAATGTAATTGCCCCATGGGTTTGGGAAGGTTGGGCCGATGGTTCTTCGGTTCTTCCTCCAGAGGGATCAAAAAAGACCCCTTTTATGTGAGGGGTCCTCGCTATGAACTTGGGACACCATTTGAACACCCAATTTGCACACCATGTTTGCACATCCTTGTGCATGGCGAGATAACATCCAATCACCTCCGAAACAGATCCACAAACGCTGCAGGTCTCGGCCGAGGGTGTTGACTTTGTCACCCAGTACGCTGCATTGCGACCGAGCTGAGCCTTGGTGGTGAACGCTGTTCAGATTCGTTGGTGAACGCTGAGCCTTTTGCTGGGGCTCTGGGTTGCAAAGGCAATTTGCATGCATTTGCCTTTGTCTCATAACTGTTTTCTCATGGTAGTTTCTATGTAGCTTGTGGATTCCTGGCTGAAGACTGAAGTCCGTACCATCAGGAAGGAACATGGACCATACTCTCGGAGTCAGATGGGTTGTACATGTTGTAGACTCATGTACAACCTCTATAATGTGCTATATAGCGCACTGTACACCAAACTTGTATGTACGATTATGTAGATTTAGATGATCTACCGCACACGGCTCAGCACACGTGAACGTTGGGATTCCTGACGATCCTCCCAATGGCAAAAGAGCGAGGCTTTGCGACAAAGGTAGTGTCACTCCTTCATCCAGTGTCACGTCGGGAGTTCTTGTTCGGTTGATTGTATTGAACGAAATACACCATCCCTGAGGTACTTGTGAACCTAGTTTCCAGCTGGCTTCTGCTTCATAAAGCAGCTGCTGGTATGCTGGTAGATGTCAGGATGTTGGATGATCCTTGTTTCTACTTGTAGTTCTAGCATGGCTGCATTACTTGCTTGCAGTTTGATTTAAATTTAGTTTATACCCACAAGTTGCCATGACCACAGAAGCAATATGACGCAATCCATATATGTATATATACGTATGTTATATTATATATATATTATATAGTTATATATTATAATCAAGAATCATGCTGCACAGTTTTGCAAGCCTTGCCAGTGAACCCAGCCCTGGTTCGTCGACGTTCACAGGAACACTTGGACCATTGGCCGATGGGTTCTCTGGACTTGGACCGCCCGGAATCTCCTGCGCCCAACCGGGAGGACTTCAGGCCGAAGTTTCGATCCAAATCACCAAGGTGAGACCAACTGAGAGTTTCCTTGGAAAGAACTCCAATCAAATCAACCCTTAGACATTCCTGCTGATCCTGCTGGCAGCTAGGCTCACGTTGAACCCCCTACCTCCCTGAACAACCTCGAACAACCTGATGCGTCTATACTCGTCCGGAGACCTCATCCTGGGAACTTGAGATTGTTCACCGGGATTTTGTTTTTTTGGGCTGGTCCACGATTCTAATCGCGTGGGAAGCAGAGGAACACTTTTCACAAGGGACACGACCTACATAGTCGGAGACGTTGTTTGTCATTGATTGGGCTGTCCGTTGTTTGTTGCATGTTGTTTTGTCTAAAAGGCGTCGCGTGTGTGATTGGTTGTGCAGCATGAATGACCTGCTAGACTTACGTCAGACAACATCCCACTGTTGAAAGGAATCCTGGGTGAGCTACAGGAAATGGCTGGATCTCCAGCAAAATTCAAGGCTTACTGGCAAGCTCCAGTCTCATGGCTTTTGAGGTACTGGTCATTTGGAGGGATCTCATCCACCAAAAAGATGATCTCCCCCCAAAATGGCCCTTCTATGATTCTATCAGATCCACGAAGAGTATCGAAGAGTTAAATGAAGCAAGAACGTGGACGCCTCCCCAGACGCGCACGCTTCCAAAGGTCCCATTGAGTCTCCGCCCAGCAACCTTCACTTAGCGCTCGCCAGTGCAAAGTGTATCGCTAGTGACGCTAGTGCTTTGCTTCACCTAAATGGGGTGTTGGGATGTGTTGGGGTCTTGAAAGTCCATGAAATAGGCCCTTTCCAGCTAGTAGTAACAGGTGCCACGCTAGTAGTAACAGGTGCCTTACTAGTAGTAACAAAGAAGCTATTAGAATTAAATTAAACATTAAGTTAAATTCAGCAATCTTCCAGTCCCATCAGTCCATCCCCGTCGTTGTCTCTTCCTGGTCTCCACTCCTCGAGGGCTTCGATCCCTTGCGGCGTGGCGGTGATCTTCTTCGACTTCGACGGCACGCTCACCGCCACGCCGGGGGACCGGGCCTCCCGGCGAACGAAGCAGGCTGGGCCTCCGGTGGCGGTTCAGAGCTGTGGCGGTTCAGATCTGTCTCAAAAGCTTATAGGTAAAGCCGTGGATGGGCTTTTGTAAGTTACAGTCCCGAATTGGTTTCTTGGCATTTTCCTGTAACTTTCAATTTCCGCATCTTTTTGATATCCGTTTTTTTTGACATGGAATCTTTGCTTTGGCGACTTGCTCTTCCGCACGATGTCCGTCTCATGTGATTTCTATCGCATCGCATCTCTTGCTCGGCTGCTACATCGTCTCCCGACCTTGCTTACGTTTGGGTACTGAATGACTGACTGACTGACTGTCTGACATCCCATTTCACCTCATCTTTTTGTTGGCTTGAACCGTTCTCTTATTAGTCTCGTACAGTATTGTCCATTCGCTTGCTCATGAGCACACCAAACCCCTCTAGCCAGCAGTGCTTCCCCTTTCCATCCAAATTATTTGAATGTTTCCTTCAACTCACGAGCCTCCTTACAGGAATACACATACACACAAGATCCAACAGATTCCAAAACCACACTGAAACGGAAACAGTTTCTTAAGGTGTTTTCTGACCCGACGCTCTTCATCTCCACAGTGGCCCGCAGGAAGCACCGGTTGCTCCGTTCGGTCAGGTGGAGTTGCAGGCGCGAGCGCCGATGCTGGGGCCTCGGCTCAAGGCCTTGCGCCAGAGCGGAGCCTCGCTGGGGATCATCTCCAAGAGCACGGAGAGTACCATCCGGAGCCGCAGAGAGAGAGAGAGAGAGAGTCGAGGGCGTTTGAAAGAGAGTCCTATCCTGGGTTTTAGGTGGATCAAGTCGATTGCATCGGGTTTGGGAGGAAAGAACATGGAAGTCATTGGGAGATTGGATGGATCGGTTGTGAATGGACACCACGCCTCAGTCAATTTGATGAATCAGCGTTGCCCATTCACTATCCTGATTCTTGGCAGTATTTGCGCACACATTTGCCTAAGCACACCACATCTCATCCCTGGCCATGCTGGGAGCGCAGTTTACTTGAGTTGACTTGAAGTTTTCCCTTGATTAGTTGCCCCTTTATGCTTTGAATCTCTTTTTGCTGGACAAGATGCATGGCAAGCCGGTCCACAACGAGCTGCTCGTCCTGTCCAGGAGCGCGCTGGAAGCGTGTCAGCTCCACAAGCTGTTCGACGCGCCATTGGTTGCCAAGGCCGTAGGCTTTGAGGGGAAAGTTGGCTTCATTGAAGACTTGGCCGTGCGGGGCAGCTTGGAAGCAAGACTTCACCAGTTTCCGGGCATTTGATGATTTCGTTCTGCAATTGATCGAACAAGAGAGGGCCGTTGTGGTGGTTTCTGCAAAGAGATTCCGAGGATTCCCCGATTTGTGTCCCATGTTCGGTCTTCACTGCACTAGCCTTTGAAGGAACAATGTTAAAATCTCAGGATGAATAGGACTGAATAGGATGGTGCTGTTCAACGCCATATGTTGCAACCGCAGGTGCTTAGTTACTCAAATCCATCGAGGACTTCCAAGTCACTGGTGCAAATAGGGACACCTTATTTTTCAAGGAACGCAAAGAAGGCAGGGATTTCGAAGCTTTGCCAATCACAAAATGGTGGCATCCTTCAATACAATGTAATCATATACGTTGTCCTTCTTGCCAGATGTAGCTGCAATTGTTGAAGTATTTCATCCTGCATCATTTGAGGCACGGATTCTTTTTGTAGAAAGTGGGGTACCCTCTAGGCCAGGTGGTGCTAGACCAGTTGGCGGAAGCTGCGTTTTTGGCGAATCGCAGGCTGAAAAGCCACTGTTGCTACACGGTGCAAGCAACGAAAGCTAATAGCGATGGTTATATAGTCGGGATTCTGCAGATGGCCACTTTCATTGAAAATGACATGATTTTCGGTTTCACAGGAAATTCAGGTGTCCATCAAGGGCTTGGATATAGATGGTCATCCGCACTTTCATCAAAATGGCCAATCACGACCTTCGGTAGATTGCGCTTCCAAATGCATGGCCAAACATCTGAGGCTGCCTTCCAAGATTGGGTTCCACTCGTGGACATCAGGTGGGCCTGTCCCTTTGCCATTGTGCAAGGGATTGTTCAGAGACCCAAGTAATGGATGTCAGTTGGAGCAATCATGGAATGTCGTTGTAGAGTCGGGATTCACTTTCCAACGACATGCAAGGTGACGCAGACTTAGAAGTTTGCCAGGGGTGAGCCTCCTACCATCTCGTACCCACCACCCTTTGAAACATCCATAATCAATTTGTTTCAATTGAAGCGTCACCCCCAAAGGGCCCAAGGGGGTGCGTGACGGCTATTTTTTCCTTCTTTCGCCACCCCTACTCCAAAGTTCTACAAACATCCTCTTTCCTGCATTAAGATTCTAATAAGATCACAGCATACCACATGTGTTCAAGAGACCCTAGCGGCCCTAGCGCTCCATACGACCGATCAACGAGACTGGATTGGCGCATGTGTGAAAACCACAGGTGGCCTTCCACCGGATCTTGCTGGTGGATGATGATCTCTTGGAGTTGGATCGGGCACGGCAGCGGGGGTTGCAGACTTATGCAGCACCTGAGGATGGAGGGCTACAAGAAGAGGACCGAGGTGGTCGGGGATGTGGCGGACCCTCCAAAAACCGACCAAACTCCAAGATCGTCAGGGGAGAAACCGACTCCGGTCTAGAAGGTTTAAAACAGAGTCTGACACCAACCCCCAATCAATCGGACAGATGGGGAGGGATTCCGAAGACACCCCATCTCTTGATCGGGAGGGGTCTCTATCTTCATGAGACAGATGGGCCAAACTACTTGGATGATCTTGGATGGGTATCCGGATACTCCACAAAATGCACGTTTGAAGACTTTGCCGGAAGCTCTATTTTTTGGGAAAGTCGGTTAGAAATGGTCAGAATTGCAGAAGCATTTTGACCAGATCAATAGGATGTTTGTTTGATCCTGTGTTGACATTACCAGACATGTCCACCTGCCATAGCCAAAGTGGTGATTGGGAGGAAAGTTTTTTCAGGACGGTAGGTGATTGGACGAGACAGGTTGACTCCAAGTATTGGAAGAATCCCGCGGTGTTTGCGATTTGAGATCTTTGTGTTGCGACTAGCTGCTTGAAGGTCAGGGCCGAGGAAGATTCCTTTGCATTGAGAATTCTGCAGCTTGCACACGCTAAGACGACACAAAATGAATGGAAGATGAAACATCAGTTCAGTGAGCATCAACTTCAGTTCAGTGAGCATCCAAAACAGCCCACCGATCCTTCACCTTCCTTGGACTTGGGTGTGAAATTCGAGGCCGTGCATGAGGCTTGGGCGGTTGAAATACGTCAGGACTTCGAGGTCATTGCCGAGTCCTTGCGCTTGCCACGACCCAGTTCGCACCCTCTGCCCTCACATGCGCGGAGTCTGGGCGGATGAGTGTGAGAATCTGTACTCTCCGGATTCATCCACCAATCCATTGCAAGGGTTGCATAAAACTCCAATGGGGGAGCTTCTTGATGCTGACTAATCGTGTTCCAGACTTGACGCCACATTGGCCTTCTCTTGGGTGTGAGAAGGCGTAAGCTAAAGATGCAAAAGCAAGACTTGAGAGAGGTGTCCGCACCTCACCTGAGATACACTGCACAGGTACGATCAGTATGATCCATTTTTTGCACATGTCGGAGGGTCCTTAGTCGAAATGGACCGTTTTGCTTCTTCCATGGTCCAAAATCATGGGAACAGGACATGAAGATTCATTCTTTGGCATGAGAGATTCGACAGTGACAGGGTCTGTGTTATTTTATTGGCTTGAGGTCTTTCTGGATCACTGCTGAGGCATCTAAGGTGTAAAACCATGTATACATATATTATATATATAGAGAGAGAGCTACAATTAGATTAATATAGTATATGATTATATTATATATACATACAGTATATGGTTCACCACCATGCACATTTCCTCCAAACGGTCAACAAGCTCAGCTTACCACTGCTTTTGACCGTCTCCATGTGGAATGTTTTTGTGGAATTGGGTCAAGCATTTTGTTGCAAGTCTGCACTATTGGGAACTTCTCCCCAACCATCAGTTTTGGTCGATATATTATACAGTATACATGTACTTGTAGCTTCATTCACAAACTTCTTGCACAAAAAGGAGTTTTGGGGGCACTCATTTTCACATTTCCACATTGCCTCATTCGTTCAATCCACTACCCTGCCGGAACCACCAAAACCACGGGTTTTCGCTTTTTTCCTCTATTCTTATGATCTCTTCTCTTTGTTTGCTGAGCGTCTTTCCTTCTTGCCAGCTCGAAACCTCAATCTGACCGCCTTGAGGATCCCCAACAGTTTCACCTCCCGTTGCCGCTCGGCGGCGGCGCCGAGCCGCCCCGTGCGGCTGCCCTCGATTGACGCACGAAGCCGCTGGAAGACGAGGAGCTGCGATGGGCGGCGATGGATCGCTTCCGGCGTGTTGGGGGGAGGACGGGTGGGACCGACCTTGTTGCACTGGTGGCTCCTGGGGAGTTTGGAGGGAGATGGTGTTCTGGGAGATGGGAGAGGGTGAGGAATTGATGATCTGGAATGTACAAAATATATCATCCATATGTTCTCTATATATAGAGGGAACCTGCATTTGCCGAAAATTGCAGAGATTGAGATGAACCCCCCCAAAAGCCCCGATGCGTGTAAAACGGCTTAGGGAATCCACTTGTGAGATACTGCTTCTATTGAGAGGGGCAGGTCACTCTCACGCCAGATTGGCACGCAGAATCTTTGACCCTATAGAAGGTAGTTGAAAAGAAACAACTTTCTTATCTCAAAGTAGGTTGGAGGCCATCGCTAGTAGGTTGGAGGCCATCGCTATTGGGTTGGAGGCTTTCAGGCACCATGACCAAACGCATTGCATCAGCTGGTCCAAGATGATCCGCTGGCATGTTACAGATAGCTGGAGCGAAGGGGGACGAAGCAGGTTTTGTTCCCAAGGCAATGTTGAGCTGCAAAGGCGTTTGCCCGCTGGTGCTGCGTGTGCTACGTAGCCACAACCCACAGCTGCGTTTTGCATCCACCTAGGGCTTATAGGCTTTTGTTAGAATCCTTAGTGGACGAATTTACTTGCCGGTTTGATGTTTACCAAGTGAGATTCTAGCTTGAAACAACAGAGACAACACTTTGCCAACAGAAGCTAGGAGTTATTGCAAAAGCTTGAGCCAAGCTTCTTGATCCTTCTTGCAAGCTGAGACATTTGTTATATAAATCATACCAGATCATTTCAGATGATTCTAAGCATGGCTTGGACTCGTCCTTTGGAATGTCCGCAGCCATGCGAAAGAACACTGCGACCGGTGCCAGGATCCTTTTCTCCGGCGACTGTTTGGGCGACTTCTGAGCGCTTCGTGTAGAAACTGTGCGTTTTCATGAAAGGAGGAATTTCGGTTTCACCCTCCCGCCATGCGCTCCCAAAAAGATGATGCATCAGTTGTATACCAGTCCAATTGAAACAGATTTCTACATCACAGTTGGTCCCAAGTGCTAAAGTCGTTGCGTGCTTTTGAATTGTGATTAGGGCTTCTGAGAAGCCGTTGCGAAACCGGCATCCCACCATGTAAGCAAAGTTCCGCTCTGGTTTTGGAGACGCTTCTTAGCAAGACTGAGTTTTCCTCAGCTCTATCGCTCTGAGACAGTTTAGAGCAACAAAAACACACATAATACTAAAGAAGCAGGGGGCTAAAGCAACATCACAAGCACAAGTGCTGTTTTGTGACGAAGAAGGTGAATCACCCACCCCCTGGTTCACGTTTCAATGGAAGTACCAGTTGATACGCAGAAAACGCAACAGAAAAGGCTTAAAGCAGCATTAGCATGGCTCCCAAACGACAATGTGGTACTTTGTACCGAATCACCTGCGAGGCGAAAAGCCACAAGTGAAGGCCAATGATGTGTGTTTGCTTCTACAGGGTGTCGGCCCAAATACATGTTCATCGCTACTAGTAACAAGGGCATTACTACTAGTAACAAGAAGCTACTAGTAGCAAGGTGCCTTACTAGTAGTAGCTCCTCTCTCCTAGAAACAAGGGCATTTTCTCGCTGCTTGGTGAAACGCGGTGTCCCCAGCGGAAACCAGTAATTCAAGGACTTGGCCGTGACTTAGTAGTGGCACACATGGCAGTGGGATTTATTTACAGATGTTCACAGCGTTTGCTTTCCAGGGACTTTCATGTTTGGGTGTAGAATCAATAAAGGCATATTAATTAATTACAAATAATAGCAAACAAATACACATGATAATGACGATGATAGCTAGAATAGAAGTAGTAACTAGTAACAATGATAACAATACTATATAATAGTGATAACACAATGATCAACAATAACGATAACAACAACAATACTATACACTACTATACATATAGAGATCAACCTTATAGTCTATAGTTTAGACAACACCGTGTCTTAATCATTTAATACATTGTAGGCCCAAGGGATTTTTCAAGTTCTTTGGCTGAGCGCAAATGGCATGAGCCTCAGTAGCCTTTGTCGTTGCTCTGACCCAGCCATGGGTGGACCCCTTCGGAGGTTGAGAACTCTTCGCTGGTCGGGAAGTGCTTGAGACACGTGGCATGCGAGCTACTGAGAGGGATGAGCCAGGAGATGCTCATCAATTTTCTGTTTCCACAAATCGGTTGCAGAGGGTTTCAGAAGTTTTAATGCTTAGAGCCAGACTCGTGATCTGCTACCAGGAACACCAAGATTTCATCGTGACGTGTCCTTCTTTTGATATGGAATGTGCTCGCAGCTTAATTGTGCAAAAAAATAGTATTTGTCGCCAATAAGTTCAGTCGAGTCCCTGATGCCTGGTGCGACTCTGTTCAAGTCAAGGTGTTCCTGATGAGGTTTGAGCCCTGCGGAGAATTTGTGGGGCTGTGTACTTCATACATCGACTGCTCAGTTGCTCCGAGTGATGACACGTGGCGGCGGCAAGAAAAGTGCGAAGGTCCAGCAGTGTGGTGTGGGATCTGGGGCCCAGAACTGTGAAACAATGCAATCAATAATATTGTATCGCAACATCTGCAGGTAACTGTGATATGGTCAAAAGCATGCGAAACCAATATCAAGACTCACTGACCTGTTGATAGGCACACAATTTACTGTACTGCGATCTTTGATGTCTGACAAACATTTTCCAGTCTTTTCAAAAGACAATTGCTCTGAATAGTTGTGTTTTTGGGGACGGCTTAGTGGCAGAATGATGCCATGTACATGATAGTGGGCCCAGGCTGTCTTGAAGACCTTCCCTTGAATCATGAATGCCATTGCAAAAAAAGCTTGCAGCAAGAGGTTTTCAACCTTGAAATTCGGAAGGATTCACGAACATGACCATGACCATCATGACCCTCTAAATTGAACCATTTAAAGCAAATCGACCACGTGATTCATGCACCGTTCGACTGTCATCTCAGACCTTCGACACAGTCCACCAAGGTGCAGCCTCTCCACCTATTTCGCCCCAGCACTCCGAGTGAGACTGATCCTGGTGATCCAGTCGTTGATCTCGGCGTGGAAAAAAGTTTTAGGCCGAATTGCTGGCAAATGTGACCGAATTACTCGGCGATGACGAACACTTGACGAGAACTCACTCGCCTCTTTTTCCTGCCTCTACGGCTGCGGTGTGATGGTTTTCTCGTATAGCTACAGTCGAACTCACGAGGCTCAGTCCTGGTTGGCATGCTTTTGAATCGGTTTGCAGGGATTCAGACTTGGTGTCCCACTGGGTCCAAGTCTTACAGATGTTTGGCTTAATGAAGAGACCGAGGTTAAACTTATCAGAGACCGTTCAGCCACACGGTGTGGCCGTGGCGGCCACGGCACGAAATCCCCCGTTGGGCGCGCTTGACGGGTGTGGTGGGGTGTGATCTCCTTTCATTGGGTCAACGGTGTGATCTTCATGTCGGCGTGGGACCTGAAAAAAAGTCCAAACACCTCTGGGCCTCTGGGTTCATTTTGTTCCATGGAAGACAGGGTTCCTGGGTCTTGACTTGACTCATAGAGATGCAACCAGCTTGATCTGGATGTATTTGGATCTTGGGTAGATTGGTTGCTTGCGGCAGATTCGGTCACTGAATCAAGGGTTCCTTTCTTGGTGCCCTTTTGGAGATTGAGCTGGCGCATCCCCTCACTCAGTCATGAAGAACGCTGTTTCTTTGGAAGAGTCAACACAAATCAAAAACCAAACGTGCTGGCTGATTTGATAGTAGCTAGTACTCTACACCACGAGAAGATCTGGCCAAAACATGCTAGCGGATGGAAGCAGCCAGCATTCAAGCCACTGAAAGATGAGTGATTCAGACCTGAGAAGCTTCAGTTCGGAACTCAGAACATTGAGTTGAACAGTTGAACTCAAAACAAGGGATTTGGAATGCGCAAGAGTTGCACATAGCCACTGAGGGGATGCATAAGGAGTACAGCATCTCCAGCCACCTCATGCTTCTCCACGATTTCACCTACACCATTTTGCCGCCAATGGAGCTTCAAATCCTTAGGAGATGAATAGCTGCTTTGGAACACCTGGGTTGCACTTGTTTTACAAGAACATCCAAGCGCAAGATATAAGATAACATTATATAACTGCTGCATGTCGACCTTATCTGAGACCCTCCTGGTCAAAAGGAAAGAACATTAGTGTACTTGGAACATGTTTGCCATGACCTGTTTAGACACGACCAGCCCTGTTGGTGTCCATGCTTCCACCACCTGGAGAGGATGTCAACACCTTTCAAGTCCTGGAAGCTGAACGCAAATCGCCCTGTTGGTGTCCATGCAATGCCCAGATTTTTCTTGCAGAAAACTGTAGGCAGAAATTGATAGAAAACGTATGCAGAAACAGATGCAGGAAACTTGGTATTTTTGAACATCGCTATCATCACTGGTGTCGCAATGGTTTGTTGATATTTGTTGCATTTTGTTGCTATATATTTTGATTATACATGATTATACATATTATATATAATCGTGTCTCGCAGCGCGTGGAGCATGCGGTTGAACAAAATATAATCGTCCCGTGAACCATTTACGTAATCATTTACTGAAACCATCGGGCCACGAATCACGGTGCACTTTCCTTTGGTTGAAACACGGGCGATAGGGTTGGCAAGAAGGAACTCCACAATTAGCAGCTCAGCTGCAGACTTTTCCACAGACAGCAGCTAGAAACAACATACAAAGTGTTTGCAACACACAAAGGGCATCAAAGGTCCTATTTTGGGACGTGCTGTGATCCTTTGTCATGTTCGTTTTTGTAACAAACGTTTTCCGTACGTTGTTGTGCGCAACTGAACCAAACCCCCAAAACAGCTCTTTTTTGTGTGTTGCTTCAGCTCTTTGCACTTGCAGGCAAGCCCCAACAAGAATTGCCGCAAGTCCGAACTTACTGTCTCAAAAGACACACTCACACAGAATCGCGTGTGCTCCTTTTTGCACAAGGTTTTGAAGCTCCAGTTCAGCGCACAGACGAAAACGGCAGAACAAAGCGGATGTGGATGCCACAGTTGCCTGGGGTGATTTCTCACACTGAGGGCAGGTTGGCAACCAAGAATTAGACAAAAAGGACCAACTAGTGGAGGATGGTATGGACATGTATGGACATATATGGAATAGGGCCTAAGGCCCGCCAGACGAACAGATGATTGGAGGTGGAGAACTGCATTCTTGATCGTTGTGATGCAGATCTCCAACTCTTCATCATTGTACTTTGATGATGCAAGTCCTGGGAATATAATTCTGCTATGTTGCAACTAAGCACACTATCTCGCGAAGCTTCGCATGCTGCTACCGTTTACTACCCATGCACTCAGACATGGTCAAGCATACTTAGCTCGGGACCCTAGAAACGGTTGTTTGAGCTCTGGAAGGGAATCATGGAAGCTTTGGTCGACAACCTAGAATGAGAAAGCACCCGATTTTGATGGTCTTCCACTTTGGCAGCTTTGTTTTGCAGTTCAGTTCTGGCAGGGGGATGCTGAAGACAAGGCCGCGGCTGGAGAGGAATCATTGATTGAAGTTGTCCTTCTTTTTCTGGGGACACATGGAATTTCGCTTTGGAGTGTGGAACAAGGGCCACAAAACCTTCTCTCGGTCCGGGTGGGGCCGCGGCGACCGGATCGCTCGCGGCTCATCGCTCATCGGTTTGAAGAAGAGTTACGAGCACGGTGTCCGATCCCAATCCATCCAGATGATCTTCAATCGCCAGGGCCATAGAAAACGCCTAGCAACCTTTGCTGATGTTGGCAAGGGTTTGGAGAGGGGTCATTTCACTACAGTCATTTACAGTAGTTTTTGATGCTAGCGGCTAGCGCTCTGAACGTTTGGTGTCCTTTCAAGCAAAATGAAGTG